ACGTGGCACGTGCCACGACGGTCACTGAGATGTATGAAAAGTAGTCAATTACGGGGTAGAAGGGATGGGGCTACCCAACAAAAAAGACCGCAGGCCAATCGGTCCAGCGGTTGCTGAGATATAAGCCTATCAAAAGCGTTACAGGCCGGGCCGGGCCGGGCCGGGCCGGGCCGCTCATTCTGAGATTTTTCCGTTATATTGAAAAGACTCACTTCGCTCGCCGCGCTCGCTCGCTCGTAAAAATCCTAAAAAAATATAGAAATCAATACATACTATCTCGGTACAGAAATATAAAACGTTATACATACCTATAAATACCACAAAAGTTAAAAACTACAAAGATGCTAAAGCAGGTGGGGTACAAAAGTGTAAAGAGATCAATATAAAAAACACTATCACACGATATAAATGTTTAACACACTATAAAACTACTGGCAAACACGACGAATTATTGGCAGCCAGCGGTCTTGCAGCAGCGCACCTGAGTTTCTGTTCACATTCGCATCATTAGGCGACACCAAGACGGCCTCCCGCCGTCCCACAGTCCGGATGTACGCCGACTCGAGCAGCAGTCGCATCTGGTAGTGGCTGGCTCGATTTAGTACCTTGACCTCATCGAAGGCAGGTGAACAATCCCTGTGAGCACTGAAGGCCGATGCGTTGGCTCTCGAGCGAACAGCTCCAGTCCAGCTCTCCCGGTGTTCTCTGACTCTGGTTCCCAGCTCACGGTCTGTCTCGCCGTCATCCGCTACTGCACGACCATCAAAACCCGCCAGCAGGAGTTCGACTTTATACGCCGCAAGTTCCGTCAGCATGGCTACCCGCTCCCATTCATCGAGTCCACCATCCAGAAAGCGCAAGCGCATCTCAGACTGAAGGCCAGGGCTCTACCGTCACCACCAAGCTCGACCTCACCAGCTGCGCCTGTCAGAGTGTCAGTCCCGTTCGCTGGCTCCTGTTTTTACCAGCTCAAGCGGGAAGCCAGCAAGATCGGCATCCAGCTGGTCTCCAAGCCGTCGCTGACCATCGGATCATTGCTCTGCAGTAAAGCCAAGCACCACTTGCCGAAGCTGCAGGAGAGCAACGTGGTCTACAAGATCGAGTGCTCCTGCCAAGTTGACGGTGATCCTGTGGTCTACATCGGCGAGACAGACCGTGAGCTGGGAACCAGAGTCAGAGAACACCGGGAGAGCTGGACTGGATCTGTTCGCTCGAGAGCCAACGCATCGGCCTTCAGTGCTCACAGGGATTGTTCACCTGCCTTCGATGAGGTCAAGGTACTAAATCGAGCCAGCCACTACCAGATGCGACTGCTGCTCGAGTCGGCGTACATCCGGACTGTGGGACGGCGGGAGGCCGTCTTGGTGTCGCCTAATGATGCGAATGTGAACAGAAACTCAGGTGCGCTGCTGCAAGACCGCTGGCTGCCAATAATTCGTCGTGTTTGCCAGTAGTTTTATAGTGTGTTAAACATTTATATCGTGTGATAGTGTTTTTTATATTGATCTCTTTACACTTTTGTACCCCACCTGCTTTAGCATCTTTGTAGTTTTTAACTTTTGTGGTATTTATAGGTATGTATAACGTTTTATATTTCTGTACCGAGATAGTATGTATTGATTTCTATATTTTTTAGGATTTTATTAGTGTGGTATGCGTTCGTGTTTTTTGGTAGACTTTCTCATTGAGTGTACTCTTATTGTCGTCACGTGTTTCAGGCTTGCTTATTTTATAATTCAAGCGGCCTGAAATAACTCTGCGCAGCTCACCGACATCTTGTGCGATTCGATTCGACCCGAACGTTTTATTTTCGCCCCGATTACCGACCTTCGCTGAAGAGGACATGTAATACATGTCGAAAGCTCCGACCGAAAACGATTCTCTTGTGGAGTAAGTCCAATTTAATCCTATAATATAAAACTCTTAATTTTGGCCGAAAACAGATATCTTGGTGCACATTTTAGTACACGAGTGCGCACACAATGCACGTTTACTGAAAAATTAGGTTTCTGTCTCTAAAAAAGAGCAAAGGTCTCGCAGATTTTGCAAATACATTGTCAGGGTAACTATAGTTCCCACGCTTATGAGTAAATATCACTAAACTGAAAAATGAATATTATCATCCACCTCCGAGGCACAAATCCAATTACTATGGGAATCACCGTGTCATTTCGCCTGAGTTGAATCAGCTCCGTCCTCCAGTTTGCGTGACCAGATCGCCGTAACGAGCATGGGACCGTCACCCGCTCTCCGTAAAAACCAGCTCGATCACAGCAGCGAGCCATAGCGGATGCCCACGTAATGACATCATCCGTGACGTCATCGTCATCGTGACGTCATAGGAGCGCCAGTGGTGGGCGGAGAAGGCGCCGATGACGATCGGGGAAGGGGGAGGGACTCCGTGCCGGGCGCGGAAGACACCGGTACCACGCCGGTCCCGGTCCCGCAGCATGGATGTGCGGTTCGTTATGTAACATAACACGTCCACGGCCAGTGGGGCCCCGCGGGGCTATAGTCACTAGTCAGGGCCTCACACATCCTCAGAGGGCTAATGGTGCGCGGCTTTTCACCATGCTTGTTCGTTTTAAGCAGAAACTGATTGACGATTCGATCTCATAAAGACACGAGCCCGTCGATTGCGATATGTGTTACCACATGGAGCGGAGCGTCCTCATCCATCGTCCCCGCTACCGAAGCCCCGCCAGGGTGGAACGGCCTCTATTGCGCAAATCGCGATGACTGTCAGCTAGCTCCTCAGGTCGTGTGCATATTTACGGCCAGGCAAATATATGCTTATCTGTTGCGTCTGTAATGCATGCCTTCTGAGCATCAGTTGAGCTGACTTCACGTGCCATGCTGTTACCATGACATGACGTGAAAGTATCTGTGTAAGGCTGGGCAATTTTAATGACTTATTTGCATTGCGGCGTAAGCAACGCCGCTCCCAGCCCGCCCAACTATTTCGTCTCCTGAGAAATATCCCATCCCGACGACTGAAAGACGCAACAAAAACGATGAATCAACAAACAAATCCATCGTCTACCCACGAAACAAAGTGACTCCCCGAGTAATAACTCCCGCGATGCGCGGCGAGTTTCTCTGCGACGCACATTCCTTTCCTCTCACTCCGCTCGTTCATCCGACTTTCTGCAGCGGCCGCTGAGGTATCTTGCGAGATCGTGCGGCCTCCAGGGTCGTAGAGTACTGAGGCACCAGGACGATCCCTCTGTCCAGCTCAGCGGACGGTGCCGCGCGCTGCGCCGGCCATCTGACTTTGACCAAGGTCAGCCCGAGTCCGATCCGCCGCCGCCGCCGGACCAGCTGCAGTGAAAGCCGTACCGCGCCGCGTCTGCCTCCAACCGCCATCCGCGCCAGAGACCGACCGCCGGCCGTTTGGCGGGGGCGGGGCGGGGGCGGTAGGTATGTCATGTGACATCTGACAGTGGGTCGGGTGGTCCCATGACCATCATGGATTTGGTTTTATGAAAGTTGGTCTCGTGATATACGCGATTTGCATTCGAAACTCTTCGACGTCATCTCTGCTCCCCTGCCCGGGTAGATGAATACCGATCACTACCTGGTGTTGCAAAACTTGCAAAGGAAAAATGAAATGCCGTGCCATCCTCCTGGTCATTTGGCAGCCCATTGTCAGGATCTGGCAGCTCTAGGAACTGAGAGGGGTCATCATGCGGTCAGGCGCGTGACTGATTCATCATGCATGCACCTGGGGACGGCAGCTCTCGCGCCGGCCGTTACCAGTGACATGGAGACGACTGCAGCGGCCGCCCGTCCACGAGAACCGAACACCCTGTCCATCACCCCCGCTGCCGCCGTTGTGCACTCGTCCGCCGAGGGCCGAGTTTTCTCCGCGCGTCGTGCGCGATGCGGACGGCGCGAGAGCGAGCGAGAGTGGGTCTGTTCGCGATCGCCGCTCCAGATCGGCCCGGCCGCGGCCGTCGTCGCTGAATGTCATGTATACGCTCAGGCGCCTCGGTCGGTCGGCGACTGGCACCGCCAGGGTCAGCGCTCCCGGCTCTGTGCGCGGCTGCACCCAGCCCGTCGCCGGACAGCCGTTGCGGTCGTGGAGCACCCCGACCGCTCGGGGGTCGGCAACAGAGGCGGATGACTCGCAGCTCGCGGCTGGGAACAAACAACCCGGCTGCACAGCGGGCAGCCCGGCGCAGCGCATCCGTCTCACCGGCGTGCAGAAAAACGAGACGGGCAAAACGCGCAGCGCAGCGCTCATTATTTAGCCTTAGAGCGTCACGATCTCGGGGATCCTTGGAACTGCCGGCGCCGTATTGGATAAATCCAAACAGTAAATAACTAATATGAACCAACATAACCCTTTCCCTACAACGTCAAAGCAAGCTAATCGTTTAGTGTAGAGGTGAAGGATGAAAATGGTGCTCCCTTCAGATAATTGAGGGACATCCCGTCGGACATCCCTGCAGGGGTTGATATTTGTTGGCCTTCACCCGCTCGCAGCTCGTGCCATCCGCACTGCACGTGCCACGACACGGCTGGGTGCGGTGGCCATTGTTTGACACGACAAACATACCCTCACGACCGGGGTCCTCGTGAGCCAGCCGATGTTCGATGTCATTTGCTGTTTCGCGGACGTGAGGTCCGAAGGATGGCCGACAGTTGCTTATCCACGGGTTGGTCTTAATCCCGGTACACGAGGCTGAAACGGGACAATTTCACCCGGCGTAAATCTGACACCTAAAATTGTCAGCGACAAGGCATTAGTGGCGTGGAATTTCATCAACTTCACGCCAGGCGAGACTAAGACACTTATGATGTGTTCAAACAAGTTGAGAAGAAATTAAGCTGTGTGATGCGAACATTATGTGATGCAGGAAGATCGAGGTGTTAACAACAAACTGGTTATTTACAAGCTGAAGATTAGATATAAACCCAGAACCCATCGTGGCCTGCATTGTCATCAAAACCTCGTCTATTTCGCCACAAACTTACCTAAATTTCTCTTTCGACAGGACCCTTGTTCGGGTGAGACCAGCCAGGACCTCTCGTCGCGCCCACGGACACCCGCTTCTCCACCATGTCGGAGAAGGGTGAGGACACGGTCGTGCAGGGGTTCGACAACCCCGTGTTCGAGGACGACGAGAAGCGCCCGGCGGCCAGCTCGTCGTCGGACCACTCGTCGGAGCGCGCCTCGGACCTGGAGAGCGAGGGCGAGCGGCCGACCAGCGCCACCCAGCGCGAACAGGCCGCCGTCGACCTCGAGCTCGTCACCATGGACAAGAAGAACGGCATCAAGAACGGCAAGGACGCCGTCATCGACATTACCTACCACGATAGCGGCGACGCCATGCCCGGCGGCAACACGCACCGCAAGTTCATAGGAGGGTGAGTACTGCGATATCGCGTGGTTGAGGGATAGATGTGGGAGGGTCCATCGCTGGTCTGGCTGCTAGCAAAGGGTTGTTTGCGGACTGCGGGAGGTCTCTCCTGTGGTTGCAAGTACTGTTTTGGATCAGTGCTCACCAAGGCTACCATCGAGTAAAAACCCTGCAGGACAGCGAGTCAGAGTCATCAAATCCTGTTTACGATCACGTCGTTCCTGACGTTTACGATCATACCTCCTCCTATCGATCGAGCTGAGCGGGTTGACGCAGGTTGCATCCGTCACCTTCCTCTGTCCGTGAGCCCACAAGCTGATTGTTTGTACACTGCTGACTCACCGGCCGTGACGGGGCGCACGAAAAACACCTGCAAACGAACATACATGTGTCGTATGTCCAGGGTCCGGCGCATTCACGCTCACTCTTCCCTTCGTCACCTCCAACCACGTCATTCTCATGACTGTTTCATGCTCTTGCCTCCTGTATACCACCTCGACTTAATGTGGTATTCTGTGGAACACTGTTAACCACCCCTGACGTCGGTTGCATGCTCGACCTACGTCCCGGCGCGTGCGTGTCGCCGCGCTCCATAGCTGAACGGCGCCCGTTGGAGGCCGTGTCCCCGGGTCACGCCCAGCCCAAACCGTGCGAGATCGGAGGGCGGCCATCGTCGACACGACCTGTCGACTCAGCAGGCGCCGGCGCAGGGTCAGGGTCGCCCGGGAGCAGGGGTCGGCGCTGAGTAAGCGTTCGCCAATGCCAGACCCAGTGGGTCTGCAGGAGTGGAGGCCGAGCGGGCACCCCGATAACTCACCCCATGACGTAGATCACTTATGTCAGTTCGGTGTTTGGTTTCTGAAATTTTCATCATCAGCGATGAAAAAGTGTAAGTGGAATGGGTCTTAGTCATCCTCATGGAAAATTTATTCTTTCTTCCATTCAGCCATTAATATGCTACCTCATTCTGTAACTTCTTTCACAAGAATAACAGAATAAATGAAAAATTACCGCAAAAACCTCAGACGCCACTCGCCACCTGGTTTCTTCACCTGCGACCGTTGGGTCACACTGCGGCGTCTATGCTGAGGCCCCCGGCCCACCCAGACTTGGTCTGTCCATCCCCACCGTACTAACCGCCGCGCCGAATGCCTCGCCGCCGCGCCGCCGCGCCCGGCAGACCGGCTGGCCTCGCCTCCCCGTGGCCGGCAAAAACGGTCCAGTTCTGGAGCGGCGCACCGCCCCCGGCCGGCCCACGTCACGGCGGCACGGCGGCGGCGAGATGGGAGCGGCGGGGCCGGTCGGAGAGCGACTCCGGCCGGGTTCCGAGCGGTCCCACAGCACTCGGCGGGCGCTGAGTCACCTTAGGATGGTAGACGGCGGTGGGGTGTTATGGCGGTGGCACAGAGAGATTTCCTGGGCTTGGTTTCCCGTCGGAGACAAGAAAAATCAGATGATGATGTCGGATGGAAATATGAGGTCATAGGAGAGATGGGAAATTCGCGATGCCGGAGTCGGTATATCTGAAAAGCGACATGACTGTAAAATTTCGAGGAGCAGGGATCCTTCGTTGAGTTTATTTGGAATTCGCGACACGCCTATGTTCTATGACTGAACGACACTCGCGAATTGTAGTCGAGAACATTTCACAATTATCCTGCCTTTACGAAATTATGATCAAAAGCGAAAGTTGTATTTCATTACGTAAGACTTATTTCGATTTCTAGTTCACATTTTTATAATCTACATACTCAGACATCGAGTTTTACCTTACTGCACCGATTCCGTCCGAGGGTGACTCGAATGACTCATCCTCGACAGCCTTGATGACACCCGGTACTCAACGTCTGCTGCATTATGTGTGGAGTTACATTGCAAATCACAGGAAAAGCGAGCATCATTCGTCAGGGCTTACGTTGATTAGCCTGTGAACCGCAGCGAGTAGGATGTGATGCACCCATGTCTCCTGCGCTTTTACCTGTCCCGAAACCGTTACTTGACCGGAAGATAAGCAACCGAATGTTTTTGTGTTTACACATGAGTACTATCTAGCTGATCGCTGACACCATTTTCTGGGAGATTTGAGGTAATGCGACGCCTCGGGTGTGTCATTGTGTGCTCTATCTCAAGTCATGCAGCATGACGATGGGATATTCGAGCTTCAAAGTTGGTTGAAAGACAATTTACCAGGTTCGGGTGCTTAAATATTTGATCAACCAGGTATTATCTAGGTATTCCTAGCTAAGCGAAGACAGTAAGCATTCAAGCATAAACTGAAGTACGCATATAAATTGGACAATGAAATATTTGTGATCCACCACGTCAGCGGCGACGTGGGCTTAGGTTCCTCGTGCCCAGCCCACTGAACCGAAATCGATTATGCGGTCCAGCGGTCACGTGCTCATCCATACGAGAAAGTACTCGTGACAGGAGATCGGCACTCGAGCTCGACGCATACCCAAACCGGGAGCCGAGAGCGCTGCCAAAGATGGGAGACCGTTCTGAAAAAACCGGCACAGCTCCCCATCCTCCAAAGAATGTCCGATTGAATTCACTGACACAGCGGCGCGAACGGGACAAAGTGTAACGATACCATCCGACATCCCTCGCAAATGAGTTCTTTCCGCCGAAACTTTCCACTGGCGGTGCCCACCTGGCCAGTAGGTATACAGACGGCGGATGGGACTGTCACGGCTGTCGGCGGCCGTCGGGAGGCACCTGGCGTCTAAACGCTCCGCTCCCAATGGGACACGACCGACGTCCGGAGAGCTTCCCTAGCTCAGAGCGAGCCGTGACGTCGTGAGTATCACGCTCGTGAGTCTCATCGGACCGCGATGTCACACCCCGGGTCGCGCACGCCGGGTGTCGGGGATGACCCAATAAGTCGGGTCGGTCCAGACAGGTGGTCGGTGGCCAAGGTCGACCAGCTCCTGTGGACCGGTGGACGGCGAACCGACGGAGAAAGTGGTCCCGGCGGAGCGGAGGGGAGGAGAGGACCGGACGGAGGGGACAGGCAGGTGGAGGGAGGACAAATGGAACGGCCGGCGGAAAAGAGGAAGGCGAGGACGGGCAGGTAGAGGGGAGAACGATAATGAAAGGATGGTAGGCAGAAGAGGACGGACAGACGGCGGGAGGACGAGGAAAAGTTTCGTGATGGTGCAGCTACTAAAAGTAAAAACCATTGCAAGTCCAATAATCCCACATTTACCTTGCATTCGTCCATAATATGGACGAAATTCGAACTCCATATTTCGAGCGATTGTCTAGCACATACCATCATAATAAGGATCATTCACTAAAATGATGAAGAGCGCTTGTAATGGCCGATTTAGCCAACTTTTTGATAGCCTGACAAGCTCCGGCCACTCATTCATGGGAACGGGTGCCCGCTCGGAGTGCAGCGGCGTGTCCCGTTAGGCCGGAGGGCGCCGGGTGCACTGGCCTCCGGCTCAGAGCGGTGGGAGGGAAGACGCACCGGTGTACCGCGAACAGGTACGGCGGTCAGCCAGCGGTAGAGGGTGGTCGGAGGATGAGTCAGCTCCGGTCCGGCGTACCGTGAGGACCGGTCTCTCCGGTCGGTCCGGCCCGGTCCGTCCGGTCCCCGCGCGGTCCGTCCGGTCTCGGCGGATCCTGAGACCGCAGATTCTAGCCAGTCCAAGAACCCCGTACGTTGGCCGCGGACCGCAGAGTCTCCGCAGTGTGCGCAGAACCGCCGCTGCCGCCGCGGCCCGGGGCGCCTGACGTCGAGTGCCGCAGATGCCAGACACTCTTTACGGCCGCCGCGGCCCGCCAATCAGACGAGGGGAAGGGGAGTGTGCGCCGCCGTCCGCCGGGCTGAAAAACACGTCCGTATTGGTAGGCGGCAGCGGCGGCGGCGGCCAGCCTCTTTGTCTGGCGCTGCCTACGTGTGGACGTGGACCGTTTATTTGCTGTTACTGTTTATTTGTCGCTGGCTGTACCCACTCGGTGTCAGTGGACGGATAAACAAACAACCAATGGAGAGGATCGTGCGAAGATAAATGAGGAAACTATGTCCGGGGTTGTCGACACTTGTATTTTTGTTCTATTTTGAACTTCGGTAGCACCTCCCAACATTGCTCAATAGTAGGGCTGATAATCCCGGGATCGGGATCCCGGAATCCCGGGATTGTATTAATCCCGAATCCCGGGATTAGAAGCATCGGGATTTCGGGATCCCGATATTTTCCGTACAGAAACATCGTTCATAAAGTGTAGCTGATAGTAGGTATGTAAAAAAAAGGTAAGTGAGTAACAACGCATTACAGTGCAGTTTTATGTCCAAAGATCTTACTTACGCCGTGCAAAGTCGTTATGCACAAGTATTGGTTACATATATACCTAATTGACATTGTTTCACACCGTCTCAGCCTTCACAATGTGGCGAGAGACGAGCTCTCTCTCGGCTCATCTCTCGCTCCCCGCGACGTCCCTCGCGCACTCGGTTTAACAGATCATTTTGCACGATGACATACTATGCCGACTATCGAATTCGAGTCCATCGAGTGGGAGGAGGTCGGCCGTCTTCTCTGTGTGACTGTGGGAGCACGTCTGGTGGCTCAGTTACTGTCAGTGCCCCGTGGCTGGACGATCCATGAGGCTGGCCGGGCGCCCTGGGCATGGTTACCGTAAGTGAATAATTATTAATTACGTGCTATTAATAATTAATAATTATTCATTAAGTTAATCCCGTCTGGGATTAACTTTTCGCAATCTTCTCTGATGATGACGAAGGCCATAAGGAAAGAATTGGAAAATTTACTTATCTCAGGAAGGACAGGCATGGTAGCGCTGTCCTACAACTGGCTGAAGGGCATAGTTCCTACGAGCGTTGAATCGGAACGAGTGTTTTCCACTGTCGGGAATATCGTCACAAAAGTGCGGTCGAGTCTCGGCGACGAAGTCGTTGATGCACTTTGCTTCCTCGAGTGCTACTACCGTAACAAGTGAATGTGACCAGGACATGCTGCTGGTCAGACGACCACAATCCATAGGCACGTCTACATACTGTATCCTGACTCGAAATATAAACAAGAAATACAATGATCAATGTCATTCATGCTCTTATATTTGTTCGGGGTGAAGGTGTATGCCTGGTATTGTGTTTATGATGGTAAGGATGCGCCGGGCTTCTCAAAAAAGTTAGACGGATTTCTTTTGCGAATAGAGGACCCCTAACAACATTTAAGCAAAATCAATGCACGTGGAAAAACGGAGAATTTTTCGTAGATTTATATGACACCATGATTTGAGCTTAAAAATGAAGCCGTGGTCTTAGAAAGTAAAAGCAAAACTCGTGAAATTATGCTTTCCCAGACTACGTCGGTCGGTTCGACACCACGGAAGATCCGCAAACACTTTAGGGCAAAGAGAGCAACATCTTGAAACAAAATTTTCCACATTTTTGACAAGTTTCTGGCTCGAGGAAGTGTTAACAATAGGTTCACGCAATTCAAGGAACACAGCGGCGGCCATAAACCCAATCAAAAGCTCACGGCGAACACCACTCGTGTGAGAGATGCGCTACTCAGACTGTCAATGGTCAGCGATATCGGGTGGCTCTGGCGACGTTTTGGAGGGTTCTGCAATTGCAGGATGAGCAGAGATCCGGAAACGCTTAAGATCCAATGGTTCCAGCAAGACGGTGCCCCGCCAATACCGCTAAAGAAAAACGGGAGGGGCTGTGGGAGCGTCTCGGGCGGCGCGTGATCTCGAGGTTCGAGACACGCCCGTGGTCGGCGAATTCTCCGAACGTAACCCCACCGGACTTTTTCCTATAGGACCACCTCAAGTCCCAGGTGTACCGAAACCACCCAAAAAGTTCCGAAGATCATAAGGATGCAGTGAAGTCAGCGGTGTGCCGTCTGCAGCTTTCCATGGGTCGTGCTGTAGCAGAGGTCGCGCTGCGCCGGGCTTAACTGCGCATCGAGCAAAAAGGGAATCATCTCGAATATTACCTCGGCGCGGCTCAGAAAGGCGACTGCCGAGGATCGAAATCCCCTCAAACGAAATGTCTTTGATGAGGCTTTTAGGTGATACCCAATTATGTTTTGTTACACTGATACACCCTTCAATACGTTAGTTATAAAATCGTCTAACTTTTTTGAGAAGCCCGGTACATACGATATTGCAAGAAAATTCTGCTTTGTAGACAGGTTAAAATAAAAACTGCTCAATCCCGGGATCCCGGGATATCCCGGGATTGCATTTCTAAAATCCCGGGATCCCGGGATTGCCAAAAAGTCCCGGGATTATCAGCCCTACTCAATAGTGGTAAACGCGGGCAAACGTATCGTTTCGCAGCGGATCGATGCGTTTCTCTTTTCCAAGTAAATCTCGCGTCCTACGCACTTCGTTATTTTTCACAGTAGAAACCGGTCATTCTTCATCCTGTTCCTTCTGCGCGTATCAAACCCAGCGTGAGATTCCTAAAACGAGCCATATTGGACTACACACACAGACTAAAAATCCCAGTGCAGTCGAGGATCAGATATAACACTCAGCCTGTCTGCAGAGCGCGTAATGCAGTTGTCAGCGCGGCGTGATCATTGCATGCGTGCCTGCACGCACAGGTAGTCGTTAGTATTGTTTTTGACGGCGGGGGATCGTCCCAACTACCGCCTCTTTTACGTGATACAGGTGTGCGTGTTATTTCTGAATGAATGCGACCCGGTTGTATCACGCAATTCGGGATGAAGCGACAACTAACCCAATGTTTGTGCTCGTGTTTGACCCATGACATTCGTCTCCCAGACTAACAACTAATCTAATAGACCAAACTAACACCATGCCTCTCATTTTCCAAGCGTACCGAAGGACTTCTACGATGACATGTTCACAACGGACGACGTAAGTGTTGCCTACTTCAAATCAGACCCGTTCGCGGGACGTGCGTCCCACTCTGACGCCGAGAGGAGTCCTCCTCACTCAGAATGGCGGATACAGGCCGACCAGTGGGCTCCTCAGATCCGAGCCGCCCCCGCCCCAGGCGTATACTGCATCCAGGAGCGCTCCCTGGACGGCGATTTGCGGTCGTCGCTGCCGGCGCAGCTCTCCATCGACGACCCGGAGGAGGTGGTGCACTTCCGGAGCAGCGCGGCGCCGCGTCGGCCGGCGCAGCCGCAGCGCCGTGCCCCGGCCGCCCCCGGTCAGCGCGGAGTGCTGCTGACGCCGGCGGCTCTCTCCGGAGACTGTTCGGCGCCGTGTCCGACCCACAAGATCCAGCGCCGACCGCCGACCGGGGAGCGCCAGTGCCGCCGCTCACTGAGGCTGACAATCCCCGTCCCCGCCTGGATGCCCCGAACTGAGGATATCAGAAAACGAGCCCGCGGCTGGCTCACCGGCGACTCACCGCCGGCTCCGACGGGAGCACCGGAGGCGGATCCGGAGACCGGTGCCAGAGACAAGAACGAACCCACCAACGGCTGGTTGGAGCGACTGCGGCAGGGTTTCGATCCTGCCGAGATGACTGCTCGCCTGCGACGGACTCTCAGCGGTGGAGGAGCCAAGACCGCACCGGAGACAGCGGACCCTCAGTCTCGCGCTGAGAACGGCACAGCCAACGGAGCTGCCAACGGATCAGCGGGAATTGGTGGTCGACTCGCCGCCCGACTCCGGCAGAGCCTGGACTTGGGACCGGGGACTGGGACAGACACGGGGGCGCCGGACGGACTGGCCGTCCGGCTGCGGCGCGGTCTGACCGGACTGGGCCGGCGGCGGAACAGCGAGCCATCGGCACCGGCAGCGGAGGAGAGCCGGCCGCGACTGCAGCGGGCGCTGCGGGAGAGTCTGCCGACGCTGAACCCGCAGCACCTGGCGGAGGTCGCCCGACGCTGGTATGATTGCCGTGGCTCCGTGAGCCCCCACACCAGCCCTGTGATGTATTCGCCGAGCTCGGCACCGTAACAGAGGCACCGTAGAGGTACATGCAACTGTAGTATGCTCATAGACACGACGGACCCTGCAATCACAGATTGTTTCCAACTTGTCGATAAAACCGATCGAGTCAGAGAAGCGCACCCAGGACCGATGCCGGTCGGCACCGCGGTCAGCTGCACACCGACCCCAGCAGAGAGTAATGGACTAATAACACCCCGCAGAAAATCGACATGACATCACCGCAGAGGTTGTGCAGTCAATGGTTGCTGACCATCCATTCCGTTGGCGACTTTCTCTCCATGGACGGGAGCGGCTTGGCAACACGGCACCTGTCGGTAGCAATAGCGGTGGGGAGAGTTGCAGAGAATGTCAGCAGGGGCAGAGCCCGCACATGCTAGTCCGCTACAGTAGAGGTCAATCAGTCAAATATCACTGCCTGCCGGGTCCAGTCGAGTCGCTGAGTCCATTGGGGAGTGTGTGGAGCCGTAGAGTCCTGGAGTCGGAGGGTGCACCAGATCACCGCATCCGGTCCCAGAGCCCTCGTACATTCCAGACCGCGGATTTTGCCCCAGGGCCAACTCACTGCAGCCAAGATAGCTCGGCCCGGCACAACAGGCTAGTCAAACTCGCAAAGATTTTCCACAGTAGGGCAGAGCAGACTAACTAGCGTAGCATTCAAGTAGCACATTAGTGTAATGCTGGTAGAATATTGCGTTGTTGTGGTTATTTTCTGCATGATTGCGCGTTTTCCAAGTAACGGCCGTCGTTGTAGCAAGTAGGTGGAGGCAAAGTGGTGTTGTGGGCGCTCGGATCGCCATGTTTCGTCGTTTAAACCTGGCTAGTGGACAGTCACTCCAGACTGCAGCTGACCCAGTGGTGAATGAGCCCCGAGTGCTGCGCCCTCTAACCATTCAGTGGTCGCCCATTGCACTGGAGGTATTTAATAACGTAACTGGACCCCACAATAGCTCTGGCCCTGAGAGCCGGTTGCAAAATATTGCACAGGCGTGAGCGGCTCAATCGGGGCTCACACTGTAAATCGGAACGGTGCGGTTAGTGAATTTGTGAACGGCGACCGCCGATTGGTGCTGTTGAGAGACGGCGCAAACATTGGCCCCTCTGTTCACCGTCTTCACCGTCTCTGTCATTATCTGAATTCTTGGCGTTATCTGAATCCTCATACCCAGCGTTTTGTCATTCGATAATAGCTTCAGAGTGCTGTTGAGCTTTATCGGCAGCATCTTGAACCCCCGCTCCTCAGGAGTAAACAGGAAGTCCTCAGGTCTCAGGTCGTTCCCGGAGGCTGAACGGCCTTGAGGGCGCAATTTACTGCCATTCAAATCGTTGACCTGTGAACTCCCAACGCTTGTCGATCCCGGGCTGTTATTCACATTCGAAATATACCTCTTGCTCACCTCTCACCCTTGTTCGTCATCTCAGGACCGACTATGTACCGTAGCGCTGTTCCAGTGACTGTGGCGCCTCCACGCATCACTTACTCGACTGTGTGCTGACGGTGCTGCCATCTGTGCGCAGGGGCGAGAAGTACTACCCGGGCGGTCGCGAGGGCAACACCAAACAGCGCTGGCTGTGCTGGGCCGGCATCTTGGCCGTCATCCTCGCCGTCCTCGTCTTCATCGTGCTGCTCTCCAGTAAGTATAAGCTATGCTCTTCTGAAACTTGCTTCCGAACTGGTTGCCTCAATGTCTTGGCTGCTGACTGCTAAGCCGCGCAGTACGCACTTGCTGACAATACAGCTCGCAAAGGAGTAGTCTCGATACTGCTGAACATCCAGTTCTAATAACATTCACATTAGAACATAAATTCCACCGCCTTTAAATGCCTCAGCCAGGTTAAATGTTGTGCAAGAAATAGCATAGCAAATAAATGTGGATGCGGGAATATGATCGTCGATTTCCACTGTTTTCGTACGTTTGTCTTTTTGTACCAATATGTCTTCCAGCTAGTAGAGCATGCCCCACCCGTCTCACTCTGTGACGCTCTTCTGTGTTCGCAGCTGGCACATTCAGCGGCGACGATGATTCGGCGGCTGACCTGCAGAAGAACCAACCACTGGCCTCCCTCGAACCTGTCGAAAACCCTGGTAAGTTCGACCGACCGCCGCCAGGGTGCCCTGGTATCGCCACCCGCCGCCAGATGTCAGGCCAGGTCCTTCATCATCCGTCTGCACCCCTCTGGCTCCGCGGACGTATCAGAGCTACAACGGCGTTACTTTCTTGTGAAATTCAGTCGCTTGCCAACAGGATTTGCATGGTAACCACAAAAGAACATCCCCCACAGCTCGACTCGAATGAATGGGCGCATCTCGCATACCACGTGTGCAGCTCAATTCATAACACACCCAGTCACCTTTTTCTTACGGGTCGCTGAATTCAGTTCAGCAGCCAGTCCACATTCTTTTCTCAGTTGCCCAACGGCCACCAGACATGTCGTAAATCGTCTGCAGCGCCCGGCCGGGCATTATGAAAGTCGTGGGGGCGTGTGGGATGAATGGGCGGGCGTGGCCTCGGGTGGGCTGGTGCAGACGCCACGATAACATTACTGGGCCGCTATAGCTGTGATAGAGGCAACTATTGCGTCACTGTATTGGCAGAAGCAAACGGATGATCACGAGCCATCAGTTAGAAACAATCAAATAATCCTTGAAGGCCGCTCCGCTTTGCATCCCGCTCTCAGCTCTAGGGGCGATGAACGAGTGGTAAAGTAATCTTGGATGGACCAAGGCGATTATATGAAAAGCAACAATGAACTTTTGTCTGAACTAGTTTCCCCAGCCAGCAAATGTCAAAGTTGGTTGGAAAACCACCACTATTTAAAGAAAAGAAGTAATGTCTCATGCCCAAACTTCAGCCTCACCCGCCCACCGCATCAGAATCCTTATTGCCAATGACCCAGCCTAGTCCTCCCCAAATAACGCTACCTACATTACCTATATCCCCATGTTGCGCCAAGTCTAGACGGCAGTTTGTTATTTCCCACGCACCAGGCAGTGTCCGAATATTCCTGTCTGGCCGGCATTATCCCCCACGCCTCCAGTGTCCCAATTCACCCCTGTCTGGACGGCGGCCGCTATCCTCACGTGTCGTGCGGCCGCCGGCGTCGCGCCGCTGACCTTTCCTGACCGGCCCCCATCAGTGCAGCGGCGAGCGCCGGCCGTCCCACGCCGCCGGACTGACCTTCGGTGACCCTGTCCGCCGCGCCGGCCTGTCCGGCCCTCCCGGCGCGCCCTGAGAGGTGCGGCGCCGCGAGAGGTGACCCCCGCCGGGACACTGGGACACCCCAGCGCCGGCTGAGTGCGACGGCGGACACAGTGGGAAATGGACGCTTTCAGACTGTTCGTAACGGTAGATTACCCTCGTCTGTCTTGTTAGCTGGAATGAAGACGGTTAATTGTGAGACTCACCGTTTCCTTGTCAATGGAAGTCGGGAAATACGAGTGTTTCACGCTGCCCATGTTTACCAAGCCGACTACTTACCTAATTACATGCACAATTCGCATTTTCCATCTACCTTAGCCGGTCACTGAGCTGATTGTATGTGTGTGCATTTCAGTTGCCAACGCCTTCTCTGGATTACTACGACTAGACACCGAGTTTACTGACGCCTTGGAAGACCCCGGCTCGAAGGAGTACAAAAAGCTGGCCCGAGACATCGAGCGAGAGGTAAGTACCGCTACCGGTCGAACAGAGTGGTTGGATAGTGGGGCGGATGGGCAGCCAAGAGGCCGCTTGGTTGTGTGTGTGTGTGTGGATGGCTTAGAGGTTCAATTCAACAGCCAGCCAGATGATGGGTAGGTGGTTGGCCGGCTGTCTGACTGGTTAAATTGAATAATGAATAAACATCAATTGGTAAAGGATAAGTTGAGTGGTTAGGCGTTGGTTTATTGGTTGACGGGTTAGGACTGGAGCCGGTTTGATTGGCTGCAAAGGTTGATAAGTTCATTGAGCGGGTAGGCAGCTGGCTGGTCAGTTTATTCGTAGGATGTTAAACGGTTATATGGCAGGCCACCCGACCTCCCCGCTCTCATCTCCTACCCGCCGCGGCAGCACAGCCGGTCAGCCGGAATGAGGATACATCGCTGCGCTGATGTGCCACTTGGCCCGGCCGCCGGGAAGCGGCCAATGACACGAAACCCGCCGAGCACTCCGGTCTGCACCACCAAATGTCTGGCCAGGGTAACGGGCTGAGCCCGACGCAGACACAGACAGGCGATGGATCTATTTACCAAGTCAGCACAAGTTTTTGCATGACTGCATATAAACGTCACGACAAAATGTTCCAGATGCCGGGAATGATAAGGTTGCAAATAGTATGGGTAAAACTTGACGATGCCACTTGCGGTAACATTTTGCGGGTGGATTTTCCTCCAGAAGCTGTTTCGCAACCCCGGAAAATAATCGAAATATTTCATCATTTTTGTGGCCAGTCTTGTAAGTGCTCTGCGATGTTTCTTCTGCACGACTGCTCAGAGATATTCGATGTAGCGGTAGCATTCCCAACTAAACATCTGGAATGTTTGCAGCAGTCTTGGTGTCGTCTAATGACATCCTGGTTGATAAACTGATAGCGACTTTCAATGTCATCACTCGTTCATAACAAACATGACGAGCATTAGAAGTGCATATGAAACACATTGCAGCAACTGAACACCGGCTCAAAGGTTTAAGTTCGTTTGGAGAGGCCGGAAAGCCGTCGTGTGCTTCCGCGAACAAACTTCCCCGCCTCATATGTCGCCAACCTGTGGCATACAGGAAGGAACAAACTCGTTCACAGGTCGGTTCACCACGAGCCAGTCAGATCAAACACGACACACAAGTCCGCAGTCGCCGTCGGAAACTTTCCAAACGTCTCCGGCAACTTCCCGGTGCTGTCCTTCCGGGTTGCCGCCGGAAGCCTTTATACCGGCTATAACGAGTTCACTGCACAGCGGGGTGTTATGTAAATGGCAGAGTCGGCCGCGCTCTTCCGTCGGGCTGACGCCCTGCCATGCCGGTGCGTCGCGAGCATGCTAAGTGAGATGAGAGCCGACCCGAGAGTAGCAGACCACTCGGGACATCCGCTGAGCGATCAACTGCGCCATTCAGCTTACAGGTACCGCGTCGCATATCCACTTACTCGACGGAAACGGCGCGGTAAGTCATCCGGAAGAGGATACAGCTAATAGCAAGGGTTATTTTGTACTCGCGAGACAAAAAATGCTACTAAAAAAGTTATCAAAGAGGATGTTAGATCCGAGATCAGTGCTATTAGCTTTACATGTATGGTGATTGGGGGCGTTATATCGGCAAATCCGCTATTGCATCGCATGCTATTTCTCCCGGTAGACCCCCATGCAACGTAATATCCAAACCACACGTACCCTTTCATCAACCCGAAGCCTCCGCCCCGTCGTGCCCCCGGTTTGCAGCTCGCTGGCGGACGTGGCGCAGCTCCGTCGGGTCCAGGGCACGCCCGCTGCGGCCTCGGCCGCCGCTGAGCACTCCCCGGTGCCTCCGTCCTACGTCACACAGCCAAGGCCGGGGGTGCCGCCCGGCCCAGCACGGCGCGGGCACGGCGCGGGCACGGCGCCGCTCGGTCCGTCGGGCACGTACCCATCGGTGGCCGGCGGCGCGGCCGGGCCGGGTCCGTCGGCCGCCGACGCCCACACTCCGACCCGTGACGCCATTGGTGACGTGAGAGGCGTCCAAACGCGGCGCCTGAATGGATGCCGAGCCCGACGCGCGGCCGGCGCTGATGGTTCGACACCATCTCTGGAGGGATTGCTGATGAGTTCCGGCAGAATGGATATTCCCGGTGGTGGTGTTTATTTGTTTCCAATGCAATAGGTCACCCGATTCCGCCAGGACCAGGTATATGTGACCAACTCTGCATTTCTGTCTGGGTGACGCCTGTGCCTCCCCCACGCCTTCCGGGCAGACGGCTGCAAATCCCGGAGCCAAACACCGGCCGTCTGACAATAATCCACGCCGACCCCGAGTGTTGGGAGCGAGCCGTCTAACCCCCTCTCTCCTCGCTCTGCCCTCAGATGGACATCGCCTACTCAGTCGGCCAGTGGCCCGAGGGCACTGACCTCGGACGGATCACTACCAGGGTCACCGGCTTCACGTGAGTATCGAGGCCTCTCCCCGCATCTGCAGCCTCTCTCCGGCGAGCGCCGCGCGCTGCAGCCGTGCACATCTCGCTGTGTGTTGTTCATCTGTCGGCGGGCTATGGGGCGCCGGTGGGTGAGCTATGAGATATCTGTCCGCGACCTATGAGGCATGTGGCCGGTCAATCGACGGTGCAGGCCGGCCCGCGTCACGGTCGCCGGAAGTTTACGACAGCCGTACATAAAATTCCCGCCGTGCAAGGCTTGATTTTCCAGACGGAAATGCAGTCGCGGCGCGCTGCAATTCATCGCGCACTGGATGGCCACGCCCGCCGGTCGACAGACGGCTGGATGCCCCCCGGTGACGGCCGTTCTCAGAAACAATCCTGTTTTGTAGCGCGCGGAGCCGGCTCGTCTGGAAGTGTACGTGTCGCCGGCTGTCCAGACGGCCGTCGGATCGCTCCAGACGCCCCCCGCTGACCCGTCCCCGCCCCTCTCCAGGGAGGGCAGCGTGGTGGCCGCCTATGACCTGGTGACCGAGCTGGAACCGGCGCAGGGCTCTGCCGAGGATGTCAGCGAGCGGCTGCAGCGGCGCGTCGCCGAGTTCTTCAGCCCTGAGTCGGGCGAGTCGGAGAGCAGTCTCAACGTCCAGGTGGTCGAGAGCGCCGTCAGACGTGAGTGTTCGGCTGGACGAGTCAGCGGGCGATGTAGCCTGATTCTGACTTTGAATATGGACCTGGCCATGCACTCATACATATGCGCGTTGATTCACTGCTGGCGCTGACTAGAGGGTATAGAAGTAAGAGCGGCAACTCAAGTTTTCAAAGTTAACGTATCAAAATGCAGCAAAAATATCGTAGTAGCGTAATTGCAGAGTGCTGTGGAGTTAACGATGATATCAACAGAATGGCGCAGTGCAGCAGAATACTCCGTCGAATATCTAGCTGACATGCATGCGAGTGGTAACTTTCCACTGTAACGGTGTCGCCCTTTCCTCAGCGATGGAGGATAAGTGCGTCACCGAGAACAACATGGGCTGCTCACACGAGTGCATGTTCTCCAAGAACCTGATGACGTTCACCTGCTCGTGCCCCGAGGGCATGGAGCTGGGTCAGGACGACAAGACCTGCCACGGCCCCGGTGAGTGTCATCCCGCCGCGCGAGGTGCATGCAAATGCCAGTCACGTTTCGCCTGTCACGCTCCGACACTTCCTGTTTCCGTTGCAGAAATACGGCCGCTGAATTTATTTTCAGTTCGATGGCGTGCTCGATAGCCCTGAAGACTGATCACCGGGCTCATTTCCGTTCGACCCTGGTATCGCGGCAGTAATAATGTCGAGCCGAGTCGGCTATATTTGACGCACGTATCGCATACACGGTGCCCCCCTCACCCCTCCCGCTACCCGCCGGCGGCGTCGTGCGTTCCCAGAACGGCCTCCCACCGGAAGCGCCTTTTGCGCATCGACCTCCGCCGCACCCAGCAACCAGAATCACAGCCGGGTACTTGGTTTGAAAAGTGACGGCTTTGCCGGTACGGAAATGCTTATTGCATTGACCTCAGTTCAAATTACATTGCATATTTCGCAATTCGCAGTAGGCATTGGCGTTAAGTGTGCGGCGCGTTGCTGGTTATGTCGGTCTCATCGCACGGCTGCCCCGGTGCTCTCTGCTAACGCCTGCCCTCGGTGTGTTTCAGAGCCGGAGCTGGAGCCTGTGCTGCACAAGGAGTCCACCTTCGAGGCAGACAAGGAGTGGAAGAACGACCACCACGAGCATGGCCACCCGGATCACGACCACGAGCACGACCACGACCACGGCCACGGCCACGACGCCCACGCTGAGCCCGAGCCAGAGACGACTGCTGAGCCCGAGCCGGAGCCTGAGGCCACTGCTGAGCCTGAGCCGGAGCCCGAGACGAGCGCTGGTCATGACCATGATCACGACCATCATGATCATCACGATGCTCACATGGACCACGCTGATCATATGGAAACCACGGCGGAGCCTGAGCCGGAGCCCGAGACAAGCGCTGGCCACGAGCACGATCACGATCACGCACACGACCACGACGTTCACGCTGAGCCCGAGCCTGAGTCTACTGCTGAGCCGGAGCCGGAGCCTGAGGCAACTGCTGAGCCGGAGCCCGAGCCCGAGACAAGCGCTGGCCATGAGCACGATCACGATCACGCACACGACCACGACGCTCACACTGAGCCCGAGCCTGAGTCTACTGCTGAGCCGGAGCCGGAGCCTGAGGCAACTGCTGAGCCGGAGCCAGAGCCCGAAACTACTGCTGAGCCGGAGCCGGAGCCTGAGGCCACTGCTGAGCCAGAGCCTGAGGTAAAGGCGGCTAACCATATGCATGACCATCATGAGGAGCATATGGAGCATATGGATCACGTGGACGCTACAGCGGAGCCGGAGCCTGAAGCCACTGCTGAACCGGAGCCAGAGCCTGAGGCCACCGCTGAGCCTGAGCCAGAGCCCAAGGCCACTGCTGAGCCAGAGCCCGAGGCCACTGCTGAGCCAGAGCCTGAGGCAAAGGCGGCTGACCATATGCATGACCATCATGAGGAGCATATGGAGCATATGGATCACGTGGACGCTACAGCGGAGCCGGAGCCTGAAGCCACTGCTGAACCGGAGCCAGAGCCAGAGGCCACCGCTGAGCCTGAGCCTGAGGCAACTGCTGAGCCTGAGCCGGAGCCCGAGACAACTGCTGAGCCCGAGCCAGAGCCGGCCGTTTCCGCAGAGCCTGACATGGAGCATGAACTGACCCTGAAGGAGAAGCTGGCGCTCGGAGAACAAATGGGCATCGAGCCAGAGTGGGAGAACGAGGCGTTCGACGCGGCCGGCCCAGTCACCACACCAGGCCCCGAGCAAGAGATGAACGAGGTGCCGGAAGATCCCGTCAACCCGCCGTCGCTGGCCGATGACGAGATGCACCACGGTGTCGTAGACACCAACGCAGAGTGGCTACCCGTAACGGAGAAGACGGCCGACCGGCAAGGTAAGCTGCTGGAGGTTGAGGGCAGCGGCGCTGAGGAGAGCATGATGATGGACGAGGAGGCTGTCGCCGAGCCGGAGCCTTCCGCCGAACATGAGCCTTCTGCCGAGCATGAGCCTTCCGCCGAGCCGGAGCCTTCTGCTGAGCCGGAACCTTCTGTTGAACCGGAACCTTCTGCTGATCATGAGGCTTCTGCTGACCATGAACCGTCTGCCGAGCCGGAACCTTCTGCTGATCATGAGGCTTCTGCTGACCATGAACCTTCTGCCGAGCCGGAGCCTTCTGCCGAGCCGGAGCCTTCTGCTGATCATGAGGCTTCCGCTGAGCCGAAGCCTTCTGCTGAGTCGAAGCCTTCTGCTGAGCAGCAGCCCTCAGCTGATCACGAACCTTCTGCCGAGCCGGAACCTTCTGCTGATCATGAGGCTTCCGCTGAGCCGGAGCCTTCTGCTGACCATGAGCCTTCTGCCGAGCCGGAACCCTCTGCTGATCATGAGGCTTCTGCTGACCATGAACCTTCTACCGAGCCGGAGCCTTCTGCCGAACATGAGCCTTCTGTCGAACCGGAACCTTCGGCTGAGCCGGAGCCTTCTGCTGATTCTGTCGAACATGAGCCTTCTGCTGAGCCGGAGCCTTCTTCTGAGCCGGAGCCTTCTGCTGACCATGAGCCCTCTGCCGAGCCGGAGCCTTCCGCTGACCATGAAGCTTCTGCTGATCATGAGCCTTCTGCTGAGCATGACTCGTCCTCCGAAGCCCCTGTGGTAAAGCCTGTCCCCGAAGTTGAGGTGGCCACTGAGCCTGAAACCTCCCCCGAGCCCGAGGTGGCGGACAAGTCTGAGGTCGCGACTGAGCCCGAAGTCGTTGCTGAGTCTGAGGCTGCCCCTGAGGCCGCCTCTGAGCCTGATGTTACCCCTGAGGCCAAGGTCTCGACAGAGCCTGAAGCCGCTCCTGAGGCTGAAGTCTCGGCTGAGCCTGCAATCACCCCTGTGGACAAGGTCTCGACGGAGCCTGAGGTGGCCGCCGAGCCGGAGTCGCAGGCGGCAGAGGAGCCGGCGGCGTCAGAGACGCCAGCAGCTGGAGCCGAGGCGCCGGCGTCGGCCGCCGAGCAGGCGCGGCGGAGGCGCCGGTAGTGGTGCTAAGCCGTGGCAGCGGACACCATGTGATACAAGTGAAAGGGAACGAGCGGCAGAGGGAGCCGGCGCGCCAGTAGCGGGCAGCGGCCGGAGAGCGTCTGCCGGCGCCGCTCGCACGGGTCACTCGCCCCAGCGCCGTTCAGTGAATGGTGTTTCCTGACGGACTTTCAGTCCGACCCACCGGAGGCCCGCTTCGCAGAACGCGAGCCTTCACTACCGGCCAGCGCGACAGGGCTCCGAGGGAGAGAGTGGGGCGCGCTGACCATACAGGGAGGGACTGGCATAACTAGTGCGGAGAATCGCAGTCGCATAACGAAAGATTAGTCGACAGTTCCAGGGGGCAGGGCGGGACGCTCGAGAACGAAAATCGACGGGGAGGGGTGGGGTGAACGAGGCGTTCTCATTTGTATGTCTGGAACGCCAGCGCGAGGGAGGGGGCCGGGTTCTATGAAAGCTCACAGGGGATCCAGTGGGCGTGGGACGCACTGGCGCCAAGTGCAGACCCACCAAACTTAGCGTGTGTCATGGAGTGTTCGGGTCGAGTCGAACTGGGGACTCTCGCGGATGGTTCTTATCCGTCCGAGATGCGGTGCAGTCCGCTTCGTACGCCTTACGAGTTTCGGTGTGCCAGTCAGAATGAGACCTGTATGTGTGTGCGAATGTGTGGGCCATGGGTCCAGTGTACCGCGCGAGTGTCAGAACAATGAAACATGTGTATTCTTCCCTTATGTAGAACTGACCGAGTCAATGTGATTGTACATATGCTGACACTAGCTAGGACGATATCAATACAAGTACATTTCGAGCCAATTTTTAAACAGCGCCGCCTTTGTGCTGCTGCTTATAGTCACGTGTCACGTTGTTCCCCGACTTGGCGGCGGCCGTTCTGTGAGCGCCCCACGCACGTGACTCGCGGCTCACTTCCGCGAGTGGTGACACATGTGCGCGTCGGCCGAGCCCTCGCGCCCCGCGGCGGAAGTGTCTCCCGCTGGCTGATACAGCTCGTTGCGGGCTAATTGACGGCTATCAGCGGGCTGTCGCCAGCGGCGGACGGAGGGCAGGGCCGACTGAGAACGCCTGAGAGCGAGACGGGCCAGACTTTCGGGCACAAAGCGGGGCAGTATACACTTCCAACTGCGGCGGAGCAGGGTAGACTTATCACCGCTTTATGTATAGGGGCAGATCAGGAATAGACGCAGCAACTGATATTGCGGCTGCGAAAGACTTATGCAGTGTGCAGATACGATCGGTCGACCGTGGAATACACGCCTGCTGAAATAAGACACTGGGCGGAGACATCTCTGAATAGCACACGGTTCAACGTACACCGTACAACGCAAAATGCACTTGCACATATCTACTACAGTCAGTGGGTACCCGCACCCGCCGCCACCCGATACTGATCAATGAGGCACTGCCATGTAATCGGTCAAGGGGTCAGTGGCAGCGGAACACCTTCAATTAAGGGGGGGGGGCACTGCCGACTTTTGGTCCCATTCTTTCCATGCAACGCCCAGGGCTAATGTTAAAATGCCAAAATAAAAGGGGGAACGGTGCCCCGGTGCCCCCCGTTCCGCCGCCTATGCAAGGAGTTTATCAATTCAAGAGTACAAAGTCAGTAAAAACGCAGTGATCCAATTGGGAAAGGAACGGCTTCTGAAACGTCGCATATCTGCCTGCGAGCTCTGAGAGCTTTGCGACCTCTGAATGGTTTGGCAAAAGTGTTGCGGGTTGTGGGATTACGTTTCTGTCATCGAGGCTCGACTGGCTCGAGCCCGGAAAAAAAAAAACTGAATTCGAAATTGATTTGATAAGCGGCACGTCATTTGTTGACACACTGCCAGATGCCGGGTGTCACAGCCAACCAGATAAGCTCGTTGGTCTTTTATTACAATCGTACACTCACTAGTATAAAAATAATAATTTTGTGTCGCCCAATACCTAAGCCTCAAAACAGTCGGAGAAAGACAGGCCAGGGGTGATCCGACCCGACCTCGCAGAGAGCAAGGCAGAGAGAACGAGTAGATTTCTGAATCGGCAAAATCACCAGTCACCCGACCGAGAACGTGGGATCGTGTAAACGTCGGTATAACCACAAACATACGAGGTACGCGGTGTGTTGGTGCGGTGCGGGGCCTTGCCCTTGCACACGATATGCGACGGCTATCGGGATGCGGAATTGAAGATATCGGTACTCACCGAGCCTCAACGACGTGACGAGTAATCTTGAACGTCCTCTCCCATTTCAGTCTGTTCAGTGCGAACACCGAACGTCGAACGAAGAACTCGGCCTGTCTCGGGCCTCGCGGGCATTCAAAACGCCCGCCGGTGTGAAATCTGGCGCGAGAAATGGCGCCGTAATTGTTATATTTACCAAATGACCCGTGAATAGCAGTCAGCAGGCGACTCTGGAGCCAAATGCTAATGGAAAACTGAAATTTGAAGCAACCATTTACCTATCATGCAAACGCATTCAACGAATTAATTCCAAGCCGACTAATTTTAATTTCCTTCCCTCAACAGTTAAAACAACGTCCTAAATAGTAACTCGTAAGCGAATCGCCGTTCCTTACTCGTACCTACTCACCTACGGATCAGAGTCAGGGCTACCGCCTACCGCATCAGATTCAAGTCTGAGTCAATGTTCGAGGCTACGCAGAATCAAAAGTAAAAAACAATTTATTATTCGTTCACTACAATTGGGCACAACGCTAAACAAGAATGCAATACAACCCCATCACTTGACTCTTGTCGCCATAGATCTTGTCGCAATTCAAATTAGCGGAGCCATTATTATGCGAATAATTTATTAAGATACTGTAATTTGGTCTGGTTACGTCACGATAGATCACCAATAAAACGCCGAGCCAACTATGGAGTCTACGATCCTTTATCTATGCTACGATCATTCTGCTGACACGTTGAAATATCTATGGGAATCTTGGAAACGTGATTCGTCCGTTTGTCTCAGTGGTGTTTTAAATCTTTATCTATGACGTCGTTTTTTATATATTACGGAACTTTTGATGAACAAATGAATCAATTGCGATACAATGAATGAATTGAATGAATGAAAAAATGAATGAATGAATTAGATTGTTCAATGAATGAATTCTTGATTTACCCGCGCCCCGTAGGGCTACCGGCGGACCCTACCACGCGTGGGGGGGGGGTTTCGCCCCCCCCCCCTAAGATCTCGGAAATTTACCGGCCGATTTTCAAAATTCAAACGGCGTTTGATAGCTCCACCCGAGAACTACCTTGTGACCAAATTTCATTGACCTAGGTCAAACCGATGACGTCACAGGTCAGGTCAAAGGTCAGATTTTCACCGTTCACAGGCATTTCAAGAAATGTGTTGTGAAATCGAGTAAATTGGTAATTTATTGAAAACCATCGATGGTAACTTGTTCGTCAAACACATACTTTGGTATCTGAGGTCACTGATACCAGGTCAGGTCACAGCGAGGTCAGGGATCACGGGGGTCACAATATGAAAGTGTCGTGTGATACATGTTTTATGGTCCATTTTTACATGACAAATGCGATTATATGGGTTAGGCAGCCTTTGGGGCCAGCCTAGGTCACGTTTTGGTGAAGGTCAGGTCAATGTCAGGTCAAATTAGGTCAAATTTCAAAGTTGATATTTTTGCATAAAATGGGTATCGATTCGATGCAACTCGTCACGGGGAGTCTAATGGTGGTCTTTGTTTTGCTCTACAAGGTCTAAAATTGCCAAAAATTGAGTTTGAAAATTTGACGTCATTATTTTTGAACAGTTTTTTCGCTATAACTTGGCCAAAAAACAAGGTATCGATCTAAAATTTGGTATGTAGATAGAAGACGGTAGGTACTATCACATATAATCCGGTTTTTTTCGAAACTCAAAAAACTTTTTGGATTTTTTGGCTAATAAATAAAAAATGCTTTTTTGATTTTTGGGGGTCAAAACTCAAAAATTTCAAAAATCCGAGACAGCAGTTTTGTAGCCCTGTGAATTCTACACCTTTTATGTCTGATCATTTTTCTGTATCTTCAAAGCTGTAGGCCTGACAGGTCTTCTCGCGAAGGTCTTTTTTCGGTCGAAAATGACAGAACATGACGTCATTCTGACGTCATTTGTGGCCAACCTATCGTAGCCTCTGGAAAAATTTTTGGTCACAATTTTTTTAAAATTGATGCCCGGAGGGGTCCTGAAAGTTTGGTGGCGATATCTCCAGCCGTTTACGAGATATCGACCGAAAAGGACAGGGGGGCCGTTTCATCCCCCCCCCCTACGGGGCGCGGGTTTTAATTAAGGGAATGAATGAATGAAAATGAATGAATGAATGAATGAATTTGACAGAGGCGGCAAGTGGCCGAATAATCGCATCGTTGATCGTACCTAAGTGCTTTACGGTGAATACTATAGGTAATGAATTATCTGGACATTCCTTTTGACTGAAGAGTTTATTTAACGTATCTTCAAGATACGTGAAAGATACTTTAGGCTGGGGGGATCCAGAGCGTTGTAAGCCTCGTCGTAGCTGCGACGTGTCGCAAGTTGTGTAGTAAGTCGTTTTTGAAGGGATCAATTGATGAGTAGCGTTACTTAAGTAGTAAAGTCTATCGCAAATAGCCTGATTTGCGACACAACTTACGAATTTGAAATAGCAGTCGTATGTTGTGTCGCAAGTTGACCTTGCCTTGAGGAAGAGGTCACAGGTCACAGGTCATTCGGGTCATGGTCACGAAATTTACATGGTAGGTGTAAAATTGTTTAAACTTTAGATCCTGAAAATTTGGTTGCAATCCGTTGACGCTAACGCGAGTTATAGAGCTTGAACTGACGGGTCGTCTATGAGGCCTCAATCGGTGCCAGCGAGAGTGTTGAAAATGGTGCATAGTATGTTATATTCACATTTATTGGGGTATTCGGGGATATGAAGTAGCCTAACACCATTCCAGCAACTACTGGCGAATCCAGAAAGGCGGTCTTGGACGTTGCAAGGGGCATCTCCCAAAATATTCTCCCAATTCCAAAAACGACGTGTCCCAGCTGACCCCGATGACCTCCAATGAGCTCTGTGATGACCCCAAGTTGACCTTTTTGACCTGGCCTGTCCCAGATGACCTCCGTGACATCCTATTGAGCTCTCTGATGACTTCAAGCTGACCTCTGTGACCTGACGTGTCCCAGATGACCCCCATGACCTCCAATAGAGCTATGTGATGACCCCAACATGACCTTTGTGACCTGACGTGTCCCAGATGACCTCCGTGACCTCCAATTGAGCTCTCTGATGACTCCAAGCTGACCTCTGTGACCTGACGTGTCCCAGATGACCTCCATTTGAGCTCTGTGATGACCCCAACTTGACCTCTGTGACCTGGCGTGTCCCATATGACCTCTGTAACCTCTAAGTGACCTCTATGATGACCCCAAGCTAACCTCTGTGACCTGACGTGTCCCAGATGACCCTCATGACCTCCAATAGAGCTATGTGATGACCCCAAGTTGACCTCTGTTACCTGACGTGTCCCAGATGACCTCCGTGACCTCCAATTGAGCTCTCTAGTGACTCCAAGCTGACCTCTGTGACCTGACGTGTCCCATATGACCTCCAATTGAGCTCTCTGATGACCTTTAGTTGACCTCTGTGACCTGACGTGTCCCATATGACCTCTGTGACCTCTAAGTGACCTCTCTGATGGCACCAAGCTGACCTCTGTGACCTGACGTGTCCCAGATGGCCCCAATGACCTTCAATTGAGCTCTGTGATGACCCCAAGTTGACCTCTGTGACTTGATGTGTCCCAGATGACCTCCGTGACCTCCAATTGAGCTCTGTGATGACCCTAGGTTGACCTCTGTGACTTGACGTGCCCCCAAGTTGCCCTCTGTGACCTGACGTGTCTCAGATTACCTCCGTGGTCTCTAATTGAGCTCTGTGATGACCCCAAGTTGACCTCTGTGACCTGACGTGTCCCAGATGACCTCTGTAACCTCCAATTGTGACCTCCATCTACAAATTTCTTACCGCTCTGTGACCTCAAACTCTCGGAACTCATTTCTTCTAAAGCATCGATTCTAGATGCCCTATAGCCACGAATATCCTGTGATCGATCCCAAATTTTATGGCAAATCACGTGAGCGTTAGCAACCACAAGTCACCCAGTTAATACAAAGCTTCAGAATCAGAGAACATGCTTGACCTTGCTGTCTCATAAGCTCGCAAACCAGAAAGGCGAATGTTCCTTTATGCGTGATAGAGTTTTCGACCTTACTGACGTTTACTACGGGATCAGCTGATCGTGTAGCCTTTTAAATTCTCGAGTAAAGCGGGTATTTAAGCCTCGTCGTAGCTACGTTCTGTCGTATCCTCCGACAAACCCCTCTTTCCTCAACATCCCTCCTTTTCCGCTACGACACAACTTGCGACGGGACATGTGTCGTAACTTGCGACGTGTCGTAGATGGACTTGCGACGCCCTGGATCCCCCCGGCCTTAGAGTATCTTAAAAGTATATTCACGTATCCAAATCACGTATCTTTTCCTTGTATCATGTAGGTATAATGTATCAGGAATGGATCACTAACATCCTAGGTCATAGGCGTGACTTTGAGCTCTTCTATATAGGTGCTGAAATTGTGTGGAGGCTTCAGGCTCGTGATCTTCCCTTCCCGGACAGGCCCTGGATAAAAACCAATTATTTCGGTATCGTTAGTTCAACAGAGTTTTGTATCGCCGGCCATTCCAGCAGCTGGCTAATGTGTTTTTCTAGGGGGGAGGGGGGGGGGGGCAATACGGGACGTTACTCGGTCAAGAGATGGACATTGGACATTGGTCTGTCTCCACTTGTCAATCGTGTTCTCTCAAGCCCCGGCGGCCGGCACCATACGCAGTTTGAGCAATTATTCAAGAAACTAATGACGGGGCAAACTCCCCTTCGCGGGATATGAATTTGGCCAGTCCCTTGGCTCGGCTCGTCCCCAGCACATCGGACTGCCGAGTGCTGACTTAGTGATTATCGGTCTCGCAGCTGGTATAAAGCAGCAGGAACCGTGCACGCTAAATTAGCGAGTGACGTCAATAGAAACATTAAAACTGATGAGCTACGAGACAGTTGTCATCAGGGCGGCCCATTGAAAGTTTACGACGCAGTGGTTTGGTCATCATCGCTAGTGGAAACGGTCAACAGTCGCCACCAAAGGCCAGCGTACAGAATAAGTCGTATATTTCATGAAATTATACATGGTTTAAATCTTTGATGTACAGGTCATCTATACGAGTTAAGTTACCTATACCTTCACGGTACATGATGCAAGCCAATGTGAAACGCAAACTACTTCACTGGAGTATGGTACATACAATGAACAAAGCCGACAGCCGCCATGTGCCGTCAACGTAGACCTCTCTCGACAACTTGATTCTTTGTAAATCAATAGCACCGTGCCCGGCGACCACCCAATATACCTACACACGCCACTAATATAGAAAATAAAAATATTAAATTAACGGACAATCTGTTGAACTAAAAATACGCCAGTCGACTGCGCCGCATGTCGTGAGGAAGATATCGCCACTGCTTTGTCTCTCGCCCTCAGCTATCAACAATTATTTGTAGCGAGCCTGCACACACCCACACGCTGACACACACACATACTATGGCTCTGTGCGGGCGTGTCCGCAGTGCACCGAACAGCTGCGTGCCGCTCTGCTGAGGACGGGGGGCGGGCCGCACCGGCCGCCCCCGTCCCAACGAACACACACCCCAGAAGGAACTGTCAACAACCGGTCCGCATCAATAAAATAGAGGATTAATATCGTCACTATTATGAAAGGCTACTTGAGCAACAGCATGCGCCTAGTCAGCCCACTCGCAGTCTCGCACAGTATCAGCACAAACGCTCGTCGTGACCCCACTCCTCTCGTTCTCTCCCTCGTTCACTCACGCTCTCTCGCGCTGTGACCCCACGCGAGCGGCCGGCCGGCCGGCCGCTGGGCCGTGGCGTCCGGCGCTCAACAAAACAGCGATTAGTGGCAAGATGGCACGGGAAGGGGTGCAGGGTGCGCGGTGGCCCGCTCTGCCGGCCGGCGCTCAGCGGCGCGGCACCGGGTTGCGAAGCGTCAGCGCTGTCTCGGCCGACAGGATGGGCACCTGGTAGTCGCGGTGGTACTGGATCAGGTGCGCCACACTGTCAAACGTTCGGTCCTTGGTCCGTACCTGCCGGACGGGGAGAGATTCAGAGGTCAGAGTACGGCCAGCGGGAGGTCAACGGGTCCGTACACCACAGCGCCGGACGTGGGAGGTACGATCACTGAGCTGGATATGTCGGAGACGGGCGTGGGAGGCCGGACCGTGCGGCTGGGTGATAACCGACGGCCTGCCCACAGCCCCCACAGCATTTGTAGAACAATGGGCCCCCAGTCCCGCATATCGGCCACCGGACCGCCCACCCACACCCACCCGGAGACGGCGTGGCGCCTCAGCTGTCCCCGTCGACCCGTCATATTTATGTATGCACCTCCTTACGCCCCGCAATTTCATACGCTGATAAATTCACACGATCCTCCGGAGTCCATGCAAATCAACACAGGGCATCAATACCAAATGAGGGGATGCTTTCAGTTGCAACACCGTGGCAAACGCCTTTCGAACATGTAAGGACGCTCAAAAGCCCCACACCTGGCACGCCTACCCATCCCGTGCATCGCTCTCTACGCGGAACGTTCAGTATCACCCAAAGGCGAGCCAACAGTAGTTCTGCCGAGCACCTTACAGTCACACACTAACAACACCGTCACTTACCACGCCCTCTGGGTCGACAAGCAGCAGGTGCTTTTTCACGCCGTTCTGCAGCCCGGTGAGGACAAACTGTCCAGGTGCGCCATGCGACTCGCGTACTAGGAAATCACCGTCCCGTACCAGCAGCGTCTCCGCCGTCCGTCGGCTGAGGGAGGGGAGAGGCACCGTCAGCACGGGTATATACAGGATACCGGGAGACGGGGGAGAGCGAGGGACTGTCCCTGTCCCCGGCCCATTCAGCGGTGACCATTCACCAAAACACTCATTGATTGCCCGGCCCACGCTGCGCTAGCTGGACCTCTGACCGTTTCCGCCAGCCGGCTGGCCGGGCCGGCCCAGCATCGGCCGGAAACTCGATAAGGGATGGCCGACGGCGACCTTCCGTCAATGTTGGCCCGGCACACACGGCCCAATAACGAGAGGCATCGACCCGGCCGGCGACCTTTTCTATCTCCGGGGCCTCCCACCCCCCTGTGGGCCCAGACCCCCCTTCCGCCCGGCCCCCGCTCTCTATCCAACCCCGCGCGCTCACCCTCTGCCTCTGGCAAACCATGGATCCATGGGTTTCCCGCCAGAATATCCTATTCCTCTATATACCTAGCAAATCCAGCATATTCACCACTGCAAGCAACTCATCAGTTTGATCACTTGCTTTATTCACGCAGAATTCCAACCATAAATATGCACTCTACCGAGTCTTAGGCTCTTCCACAAATATGAAATATTAATGTCGGTAATATCATAACGTCAATACCGTGCCCCCTGCCCTGTCCGGTCATGCTCACCTAATGGGCCCGTGGTACCAGATCTCTCCGGCCAGTTTCCGTTTGTGCTCGGCCTGTGAGCGCGGTGTGGGGCTCGGAGGCGCAGCTGCTGCCCCTCCGACAGCGCCGCCGACGCCGGCCGGCAGGCAGGCTCCGAACGGCTCTGGGGAAACAGCAGACGCGGGGTCATTATACCGGCACCAGCCGGCTACAGCAGGCAGCCGCCGCATGAGTATCAGGAGATGTCCGGTACAAACCACATCAGAAGAGGAGCTTATGGCTTTTGTCATGCGAACATCTAGCAAACACTGCAAGTGAAATGACGGCGTTAACACAAAGTGACCAAAGTCCTACCTCTTACTTCTTCCACTCTACCCCATTGAGCAGGACCGGGAGGGGGAGGGGAATTGCGGACCGCAGCAGTCACCACCGGCACCATGTTGGCGAAATGTTGGACGGTTGGGGGAGCGGCCACAGGTCCGGGGTGCGCCGCGCGCCGCCGCTATGTCGAGATACACGCGACTTACACAGGGCCCTACACACGGCTTACACGGCCAACAACCGCAGGTGCACACAGAGATAATACACCGCAAAGGCGGCGCTACAACCGGACAACACCGCAACATTCCCCGAATCAGATCATTCCCTATCTCGGCGAACGCCGGCATCACCACGACGGAATGTGGGCCGAGGTTATCTCGAAACACTTACGCATATCGAACGGATCTCGCGGGTCGGCCGTCCGTCCAGCGGCGGCCGCTGCTGCCGCTGCCGCCGCCGCCGCCTGCCGGGTCTCCGCGATGACGGCCCCGTTGACGTACTCGTGCTGGCTGGCCTTGCTGGCCGCCGGCGGTGAACTCAGGTCGATTAGGTTGCTGTCGCGGTCGGCCGGCAGACTGGGCAGCGGTGGCAGACCGCCCTCGGCGCCGCCGGGTCGCCGGGGCGCCGCGCCCGCCGCGGTCGGTGCGGGCGGTGCCGGTCCCGGCGGGGGCCCGGTCGGCGGCTCTGCGGGACCGTCCGGTGGCACCTTCCCCGGCAGGTCATTGTAGTACTCTGGGTCGTCGTTTGCGGGCGGCGCCGGCGCCGGCGCCGGGATCTCGATGCAGCTGGGGACAGAACGGTGATGTCAGGCGGGTCAGGAACGGGTCGGGTCAAGCAACAGGTCACTCGGGGAGCGGGGCAACAGCGTCAGCGTCCGGCCGTCAGGCCACTCGGTCATATCGACCGGACGACCGGCAGGTCCGGTCCGGCGACATCCGCCGACTGCTCAACAGGACGCGCCAGTCACCACGGCGGGATGCAATAACCGACACGAAACAGCGGTCGACGAAGTGATTGGGGGTTCTGAGTAGGCTGTTTCACTAGCATATTCCGCTCATAACCTAAAGACAGCAAAGAGCACTTCTGCAAGATATCTACGTCTTGTAAATTTGACAGCAAACAAAAAGTCAACAGTACATTTCCGTTCCTTGACACTGACAGTTGTCCGTTAATGCAGGGAAACAAATGCCTTTTACATCCGACAAGGAACATTGATGAGAGCTAAAATCAACTACATCACCCATAAATATGTCGTGCCATCTGTGGGTTAGCACCCACATATTGCACGTGACTCATTGGTTATCGGGAGTTTTAACTGAGTCACTATACATCCTTCAAGCCCGTTCGGTCGACAGCTGCTGACCCAATTGAGTCACCGGAAGTTAGAAACCGCCCAGCGGACGTGCAGCCACCGGAATTCACCCACCACAAAAACGTCCCAATATTATCTGAAACTACACGTCACATCTCTCAGGGATCCTTCAAAAATACCCGTGTCATAATAACCACGCTCTCCCATCCGTACGTTGTGCGCTCCACCTCAATGAGCCGGGCCCGGTCTGCGCGCGCAGCGGCGGCACACGTCCATTGACCGGCGCGGCGGCGGCGGCGGCCGTTCATTGAGGCCCGACTGAATCAATGGCCGACGGCGGACGCACGCGCCGTGCCGCCGCCCTCAATGGGAGGAGGCGGCGGCGGCGGCGGCGCTGCCCCACTATCGGCTTCCGGTGCGGGAATTGATCGTCGGCTGCGACAGCGATGGTTCGCCACGGGGCGGTGACGGGGAGCGATAGGGAGCGACGGGAACGACGCACTCGGACGGCCGAAATAGCAGCCGGCGGAAGTGGGACCAGATAACCGAATAGGTGCCGGGCGGAAGTCGCACGGCACCGGCGGGACCCCAAGTTCATCGTTCGTTCGAGAATCAATGACAACTCCATTGAGTTGTGCACGAACCGGAAGGCAGCAGCGCCGTGTCGCGGTATTGAACCCAGTCCTCGCTCGGCGGGTCGGCGGCCGGCGGGGGTCGACTGGCGGTGACCCGGCCGACCTCCCTGGGGGCAGCTGCCGTGCCGCCGCGGCCGGTCGGCCGCCAGTCGGACCGCCCGACAGGCCGACCCATGGGACACCCGTCGCTCGGCGACCAGAATAGCTCGCGCCGGAAATGAGGCAGAGCGAGGCAGAGCGAGGTAGAGCAGAGCGGCAAAGTCGCCGCCGGAGTGCGGTAAGGTCAGCGCTGGTCAGGGACCGACGACAAACCCTCAGCGCGGCGACCGTTCAAAGTGCAGCGGTCAGACTAGCGAGCTGGCCGCAGCGCCGCGCCGGCCCAGCGCGTCACAAACGTCACTATAGAGGCCAGCATCCGGCAGCGATGACTTACGATCGAACAGCGACAACAAACGGTGACAATCTTAATTTGAAACCGCGATATTTACGGCCGACGGTAGCGCGGCCCAGGGCTCTGAGTCAGCGCGTGACGCTGCTCCGGGTCGCTGCGGTCCGAGAGAGGAGAAAAACGACGCCCATGTGACGTCCCAGCACACAAAGATCCATCCACTATAGAACTAGGTCAAGAAACACCTTCATCAAACGGGGACGGGCTCGAAAAGTGGCTAAGAATCGGACCCGGTGATTAATATGACAGTCAACGGCCTATTCTGCACCTGACGACAGGCACAACCCGTGACGATTCGAGTCTAGCGCAGACGACCGGCTCACACTCACACTCACACGGGACCCTACTCACACTTCATTCAGCCTTTGCGACCCCCGGGCGCGCCCCATTCCCTCTTACGTCACCCCCGCTGCAGGGCGTTCCAGCTCGTACTGCGCCACCCTCCCGTCCCCGACTGAGGAGTCTTCCACCCGTGATCTGTGACCAGCGGCCCTCCCGCCCCGCTGGCTGCAGTCTGCACAGCCGCAGCAGACCGCTCGGAGAATGCAGCACGGCTTGCCGACGTGTTCTGTCTCACCCCGCCTTAGCTAGTACCGTCCGAGAACACAAGATCACCAACCCCTGCACAGAATGGACCACTGGCATCTAGATAGCGAGGAACTGTGACTTTCAACTACATAAAACGCACGAAACAAATAATAGGAGCACAAATGTTTGACAATTTTCGATGGCTTTGGGGCGTTTTACATGTCCCTATCACGCAGTGCGGCGCATCATCTCACCTTTTTGCGTGTGCGGGTGTCCTCTTGAGGTACTCCTTGAACCGCAGCTCGAACGCCTGGCCGATGGTGGTGATGACGTTCTGGGCCACGCCGCCGCACTCGAGCACAAAACACACCCGTCCATACCGGCTGTCCTTGGCCACGTACGCCACAAAGTCCATCGTGTCCTGCGGGCACACCGAACGGTCACGTCACAACGAGTTAGCTCAATGAAAATGTCGATTGCATGTGGGTGCAATTTTGCACGGAATGAGTAGAGTGATGGGAACTTATGCAATCTGACTTATTGATCTCTAATCGACTATGCCACTCGCTGATCGATATACCGATATAGGACGAGGGCGGTGAAGGCGGTTTCGCAGCTAGCAACACGGGCACACTGGCATGTTCCATTAGAGAAGATACACTATCGAGAACTTGCACTATATCGCCTAGGCTCCTGCAATCTATTGCAAACTGTCAAGTTTCCGGCCACGGGGAACATTGATACCACGGCTTCACTCGTCACTGTCAGAATGAATGGAAAAGTTGCCGCTAACGGTCGCCAAGCTACCGCCGACTTTTCCACACGAGGCTGCGTTCAGCGGGCGTTGCCGTCCGGACGCTGACCTGTGAAACGAGCACGAACCGCGCGTCAATCGGCGGCCAGGGCGGCCGCTCCGTGCCATGGAGGCGGTGTAGGCCACATCTGGCCAGCGAGCGCCAATCATCCATCTCGCCTCAAACCGGGCTGCAATTTGTGTTTCCGGCCGCGGCGGCCGGCCGGTGCCGCGTGCCGGCCCATTAATAACTCGGACGGCGCACGGCACCGACCCGGCGCCGGCTCGCTAATGAAATTCCACGTCTGGGCCGCCACGCAAACAAACCGGCCGCCACGTCGGGGCGCATCACTAATTCAGCGGTCTCATCTGGCCGGCGGCTCTCAGCGGCGGCCGCGGCCCACGCACGGCGCCGCACGACACACGGCCCTATTTCGAGCCGGGCTGACCGACCGTGCCGTGACCGGGCCTCACGGTCCGGGCGGCCCCACTCGGCCTAATCCGCGCGGAGGCGGACGCGTCGTGTCCGTGCCGTCCGCCGGAAACCCGTCGTGTCAGGTGACAATCGCGCCCGTGTCACCGCTAGGTATGCATATGCAGGCGGTCGAGCGGACTGGGCGTCAGTCCGACACCGGCCCGGAGTCATTCCATGTGACGGACGGGGGGGGGGGGGGGTCCGAGCCCGGGTCCGGGACCGGAGCCGTCCGAAACTCCGCCCACGGCCGGCCAGCGGGCGCGCCGGCCGTGCAACATGGCAGCTACACGACGGAGGCGCTCGGGCCGGCCTCCACCCCGGGCAGAGAACCGGAGGGAGTCGCGCCTCCGCCGCTCTGCCCGGGTGCGGCACACGCGGCCCGGTCGGCCCGGAGGAGTGGCACAGATGGCCACCGGACAGCCGGATCCCGCCCGACCGGCCGACGACCTGGTCACCAGTCGCCTCTCCAAACACATGGGAAACTTCTCGTTCACCACGAGCACAGCGATAGAAGCATGGTTACACCGGCCACAAAGATAGGTTGTCCTCATTTAAAATTTGTCAAAGAGCCGTCGTAACCTTTCGATAAGTTTGCCAGAGCGCAGCTGACTTTTCCCACCGCAGATTTAGCCGTCGCCGGCGGCGGCTGAGCTCCCGGAGACCATTGCTGGGCTCGGATCGGTGTATGTTAGAAGCAAAGGGGAAAGTTCAGGTGGTGGTTACCCGTTCACAGCAGTGGTTGTTCTATAGTGCCCACTGGTTGTTCAATGGTCGCCCTGAAACACCCTGCATTTGGCTAGCAAAGAGGGCTGCTGGTGCCCGGTACAGCTGGAGACAACATCCTTGCAGACCAACAGACTGGGCCGCCAGACTGGGCAGACAGTCCCCTACGGACCAACCGACCACCGACCGACCGACCACAGCGTGGCCGACACGGTCGCGTTCCAGAAGGACATCGGCAAGGACACATTCCGCAGTCTGTTTTTAGTGGGATCAGTCACATATTTTCATGTCTTCAGTGAATCAAATGTGGTATCGGCCGGCACATGCAAGCTCCGCGACCAATGGCGTGGGCCGGCCGGCCGGTTACAGGGAAGTTCGAGGGGCCGCCGCTCCCAGAACGAGCGACGGCCTTGCGAAGAAAAAAGTGGGTGCCGCGGTCGCCGGCCCTTCTCCGGCACCTGGCCGGCTGCGGACCGTCCTTTGTCGTAACGTCGGTCGAGCCGGGCAACATAGCAGCTGGCAGGAATAGGCTTCCTGTCCGCTCCCCTCCGCTGTTTGGCCATATGTATATTGCTCCAAGGGAATTGAGGGTGTCTGATGTGAATATTGAATAGGCCATCAAATAACCAATCCGATGTTACTGTTTACGGAGCGAGCGAAGCGAGCGGAGTCTTACGTAGAATAACGGAAATTTCTGAGTATGAGCGGCCGGCCGTGCGGACGCTTTTGCGAGGCTTATATCTCAGCAACCACTTGACCGATTTACATGCGGTAATTTTTGTAGGGTAGCTTCATTCCTTCTACCAAGTATTGGACTATTCCCGATGCATGTGGGTGACCCCTTATGCACGTGCCACGTGCAAAACGAAGAGGTGTCACTTTTGTAATTGTTGCAATATCTCGGTAACTACTTGGCCGATTGCGCTGAAAGTTGGCATGTAGGTAGGCACCCACTAGGCACTGCATATCCATGTGCCAGAGTTGGGGTGCTGCTGCACGTGCGCACGTGCAGGGGTCGTTTCCAGATCTCGAGAACGGCTGGACCGATGGCGCTCAAATTTGGTACACAGTTAGGGACCAGTTAGTAGGGTGCCGTGCACAAGTCAGTTGGGACCCATTTTGCACGTGCGCACGTGCAGGGTGCCGCTCCCAGATCTCGAGAACGGCTGGGCCGATTGTGCTCAAATTTGGCACATTGCTAGAAACCGGTCAGTAGGGTGCCGTGCACAAGTCAGTTGGAGGTACCCCCTCGAAATTTCGCACGTGCAAGACTCACCCCCTCGCTCGCCCCGTTAGTCGCCCCAAAAGGCGCTATACTGGTGGGTATATTATGCGTCTCGCAGCACCACTGTCCCTGTTCCAGTAATGTTCACACGCCTGCCTTCATCGTTTGCGTTCTAGCTCTCGGTCAGATAGAGCCCATTCGTTCCACAGCCGAAGCCCGCTCGTCCCGCGTGGGGCCACGCCGGGTCGCGCTGGCGCCGGCAGCAGAGCGCGACCAGCGGGCGGCATTCCATGTGGCAGCCAGGTCCGTGTTGTTGTAGCTGGATTCCGCGCGGCGCAGCCGTCGGTGAGCGGGTCCGGGCGCCACCGGCTGCCGACCTGTCGACCCGACACGCCCGGCGGCCGGCCGACACGGCTCCGTGTCGGCCGGCATTGTTCGCGAGGCCGAATTCCCTCCGATCCGCCGGTGGAACACGGCGCTGCCCTTTCAACGCGGATTGGTGCAAGCTTTTTCAGGCCAGTTTTCCAGACGGAGCCGGGTCCCACTCGGCTTAACGCTGATACCCGGCCAGAAAGCAGCTTAAAGCGTTTCAATGGCGCTGTCACGAGTAAGTTTGCATGGAAGTGCCAGCAGTCACCCATCATACGAATCCCGAGCCTTTCACTTTTCCTCGATGCCGCCATTGTTGGACGGTCGGCCGACCGACCGAACGGCCGGCCGGCGCGACCCGCCAGCGATGCCAGACAAAAATGCCGCCATTCATTCGGAGAACAGGCTTAGCGCTGCTGCGCCACAGCCATGCGAGCCGGTGGCTCGGGCAGCGCTGCCGCAGCCATTACCGGATGGTCGTCCGGCGACCGGCGCACAGTGGGCCAGGCGCTTCAAAAAAGCGGAATTAAATCATTGAGCACAGCTGCGGTGCCAAAAACGATTCGTTACAGGGTAAAATATCATGCTAAAGCCGAATCCGATATCCATTTTCAATTTTGATTGGTTACGCTAGGTCACTGACCTATGACGTCATTATTTAATTTCTGCGCTGCACATATGCCTGGGACAGGCGGGCACTATGCCGCATTGGCCGCGCGTTTGCAGTCTTTTCGTGGTTTCAAGCGTTCAAACATGTGATATGATGTTGGTCCCATGCATTAGGGTGGGTGTAAAGGTCACCTGAAGGTCAGATCAGGTCATTGACCTTCGATGACCTCGGTTCACTTTTTCGAGTTCTACATGTTTCTGGGTTAGTTTTTGGAGCTGAATTTGAATTTAGGAACCATTTGAACATTTACGAAGTAGTTTTGGTTCCTTCGTAACATGTTACGAAGCTGTCAGAGGCGGGCTGACACCTACTACGAATACCCGGCAGGACCCATACTGGTTGACCTGACCTGAGCTGACCCGACCTGGCCTAAATGCATGAAGACATCATCTGTGATCAAAACTAACATGATATTCGTGATCAGCATCCCGAAAACCCCCTTAGCAGCCACACTATACGACGTTCTAACAGGTCCCGACTTTCGGCCATTGACCTGACCTCAGAGGTCACCATTTGACCTATGACCTTAAAACCGGGTACCGTTGGCTTCGTCTCGTGACGACCTACACGATGGTTTTTTCCGCGAGGCTCTAGTTCAATTAGGGCCAAACGCGAGGAGGGTCGCATCCCCCTGTGCCGTCGAGGGATGCAAAACGGCCTATGCCGGCGAGGGTTAAACCCTTATTTGTCCATTTCGCGCAAAAATGCGCAAAATATTTGCATTGGGCAGCAAGCTATACACCTTGAGGAAAGTCAGGCAGCAAATATCTTCGTGTTGTTCGGTGACGTTTTCTTTATATCCTTATATAAATTCATTGCGTCGTTGCACTACCACGGTTCCGAACAGGCACTGCAAACCCCACCGCTACTAGTAAGTATGAAGTAGTTCCCGGGAACTTGAGTACGAGAAACATGCGCAGAAATACCGGCTGTTTTTTTAAAGCTATTTTGTACGGAATAACTTTAATGATTTTACGCTGAGAGCTTTTGAATCGGGGGAACGGAATATGGTACACAGCAGTCATTTCCATCTCCAGTCGGTAAGTCCTACTTTGCGACGTTATAGCATTATCTGCCTTGACATTGGGGAAAGGAAACTTGCTTATTCGGAAACTTTGGACATTTTTACAATACTCTATCCCATAATTACAGGAATTTCACCGAAGTTGATTTTCGACTTAATTCCGCTTTTTTGATGCGGCTGGCCCACTGTGCGGCGGACTCCGAGCTCAGAGAGCACACCTGTTCGGAGGATTGGTGGGCGGCGCGGTGACATGCACTCAGTGCACCCTGCGCCCGAGTACCCATCGTACAAACATCAAAACCGCTAACCAACGTACGTCTTTCATTGACACTATGTACTCTACCACTAAACAATGACCCCTTCATTCATTCGCCATTGATTCACAATTCACATGCCTCTCTCCTTTCCCACCACTGACCGACGAGTATCCAGAACTCACCGAGTCCCCTCCGGAGGCGAACGATATGTTGGGCATCTCGTGGCTGGCAATCACGCGGCCCTCCTCCAGCGTGGTCAGCGTCAGCCGACTGCTGGTGATGGTGAGGCTCACGTTGCTGCCCGCCTGGTCCATAATTGGCTTCTCCCCTAGACTGCGCGCCATCTTCTTGTCGAGCCGTGGCCGCCGGTCGGCAGACTTGAGACCGGCCGCTTCGCATACCCGCGCTATGCACTCCCTGAGGGCAGAGTGAGAGAAAGGTCAGGCCGAGTCACAGGTCAGGTCAGACACAGCGCAGACAGCAGAGCAGGGTCATCTAGACATTTTAGGAGGCACGGTCTAGTGAGCTGATTGCGGCTTGGAATCGTTTCTCAGCATTTTACTCTCATGTAGTGAAGAGCAACAGATGTAGCAGCATGTGAAGCCACACCTCCACGTCAGCCAATGATGGCGCCCTTGAAATAGCCCCGGGTCAGACACTCACAGGTAGCCTAGTCCCTCTAATCCACACACATTCATAACGTCCTCGGAAAGCCAGATTCAATGCCTACAGTTGGCTCAGGAATCAGTCACTGAGAGATGATGACAGGGGTCATCCTCGGACAACACGCCCACACAGGGAGTCGCACCGGTGCAGAGACCTTCAGACAACCATCATCAGCCGTGCAAGTGTTCGCGGAAAGGAGGCAGTAATGCGAGCGAGTGCTATGACGCGTTTGCAAGAACACAAAACATCGCATCCTAAGCCACTTGACTTCATCATCTTTGAGCTACTTATTCTGGTACCTGAGCAGCAGCCTTTCATTTTATGCTAGCTTTTGAACATAGCACATAACACGCCGGTCCAGCCCTGAGGTCGACGGGTTCTGGGCAGCCCAAGTCCAGGTTGGTCCACCAGCTGGGCTCTCCGTCGTCAGCCGGGTTCTCAAGGCGGCGCTGGCACCGCGGCGGCGGCCGCCCTCCGGACGCACAGGGCACAGTGCCCATCTGATAGGGAGCCGTCGGCCACAGAAAAACGACCGCGCCCGGCGGACCTGGCCGCGCCGACGGGTCACAGGGTCCACGGCGGCCACTGGGCCAGCCGGCTCCGACCCGAAATACCCACCCACTACAACGCCAGACGCAGAACACTATCAAAGGGAACCCCGTCCGCGCTCTGAGGGAAACAAGATGAATGGCCGCAATCAATTAATGAATGGACTCGACGCTGACTGAATGAATACATGAATGAATGCGAGACAAAATCATAAATAAATGGATACACAGGTCTTCGTTATATAACTTGGCGTTGCGGCACGCGCCTGGTTCTTCAAGGCTAAGGGCGGCTTTGCTGTGCTGCTAACAATACCGCGCTAAAAGCAGCCATTCAACGATCCGAGGGGCCCTTCAGAAGAGCGCCTTGAGAGCCTGCTAAGAGGTCGACGCGGTCGTTCGACCATCCTTTCCTGTCTCGCGGGTCCGCCCCCCATCGGAGAGGCTTTCCCCAGTGCAGTTCACCGGGTCCACCCGCACCCCGTGAACTGCGGCACACAGTCCAAACGACAGCTGCTCCACGGGACGCCGGCGCCGCCACCCACACAACGAGGATCCATAACGAGAGGGGAGGGGACTGGGTGGGCGACTTCAGCAGGTGCGGGGTTCGCCCTAGTCAGGTGCAAACCATATTTAACCTGTCCAGCTAGTCCAGCCCCTTCCACCTCACCACACAGCCCCGCCCCTTCCATTCCGGCGCTCTCGGCGATTGTATGCAGTGGTACTTACTTGGCGATTAGTGAGCGGGTGTCGAAGTTTAGCGCCTTCATTGATTCCTTCACCTCCAGACATCCGATGTACTGTGGACAAAAATACGGCACCGTTAATGAACGAGCAATAAGGTTCATTCATACAGCAGACAATGATGAAACACAAGACAAATAAACCCGGCACATATATGCAATATGTAATCGCTCATAGCCACAAATCAATCAGAAACAAATAAACACACATAATTGGACATCGCGCAAAATCACCCCAACATCAAGTCAAGTGTCATCATAGCCAAGGAACCAGTAAGTACTAGAGACGGAGGGCACGTGTGTTCTGCTGTAAGACGGTGCAGGCGCGGCCGGCGCAGCGTGCTGGGACGGACAGGCCGGCCGCAGCGGAGGCCATATCCGGCGGTGTATATATCCCCGATCGGGCCCGATCGCCCGCCTCCGGGTAACGGTGAACCGTGGCAGCCGCCTTCCAGGAAAGCCGGCGCGCCTGCGCGCTGGGCCGCGCAGACAGCTCAGATAGCTTGGCCACCTAATTGCATACAGCCAACGCACACTGGTCGGAAACGCCCTCACGAGAGGCCACGGGCGATTCCGGAGTTTCGGATTATTTTTTACATAGATCGATTTGAAATTGATCAAATTATTATACTTAGGCCAAAAAAACTAATCTGGGTGACCAAAAATAACTGTAATCAGCCCCCGAAGATGGGGTATCCCAGAACTCGGAAACTGACGCGGAGCAAGAGGTTTCTTGAGCCGGATATTCAGAGTCTTATTGCTGATAGACACCAAATTGAAATCCCACCTATTATGCATCAAAATGTTTGTTATGAAGTTGCCGACTGGTCAGTGCAAAATTTTTGGTATACTTTTCCCCTAACTAAGATTTACTGTAGCTTTTTTATGAAGGCTCTCCTACAGTGATTTTGGAATATAACTGCAAAGTTTAGGTAAGGAAACAACAGGTAGTCCCATCTAGTTCCACTCTGATTTTTTGTGAGATGAAGCAGGATTTAAATTTACACCAGGGCAACATAAAAGCTAACTGCGCATATTTGCGCAAAATTTGCAGGAGCCGCTCTTCCTACCCAAGTACCGCCCGCCCCGCCCCAGTTTCGGCTCGGCCGCCGCGCCCGGCTTACGCTGACCTGTGTGGCCTGCACGCATCCATGCGTAGTTGACTGGTCATTAAAAACAGATGCGCTTGAGTTTATGAATTTTGTGAAAAGCGCGTTTTATGTATGCATTTATGTATGCATTGACATCAAAAGCCTTCCACATGTTGCGTGGCGATTTCGGCTTGCATTTAAAGAGCCTTGCTATTGACAGCCATCACTCCGGCTGAAGAAATTGGAAATTGAAACCTTCGTGAATATAAGACGCTGCAAATATAGGACACCTGTCACTGACGTCGGGTTACCTTGGGCCGTCTTTTTACATTAGATCACAATTCCGGTATTTAACCCTGGCCGGACCGATTGGTTTTCTATATTGACCGGGGAGGGTTGGTACAACTTCCTCGCCGTTTCGCCTCTAATTGAGCTAGAGCCTCGCGGAAAAAACGAGCTTGTGTGCCGTTATAAGACGCAACAATTAGGTACTACCCGATTTTAAGGTCTTAGGTCAGCCAGTGGCCTCTTAGGTCAGGTAAGTGCCACAAGGGACGGGCTCAGTTTTAGGTTAATTACTTTGCCAAAAATGGTCGCACTGCCGCGATTTTGGCATCATCGTGTTTGTCTAGCTCAGGCGCGTTGAATGCTATACTTGGTGATCGGGTGAAGTCAACTTAAGGTGTTAACCTCGGGTCAAGGTCAGGTCGGAGCCCCTCAGGTCATGAAAATGGTTGAAGGAGGTCATATCGCATATCATTCGATTCGGCAGGTCTTCCTGAGTCCAATGGTGGCTTTCCCGACTCTCTAGCTCCATCTGATCAGGAGTTATTGACGAAAAACTTATATGGCCTTAGTGACGTCATAAATGACGTCACGCAAAGTCAACAATGCTTAAGTGAAGCACTGGACCTTGCAAGGAGTGCATGAAACCATTCCCGGTGCCCGAATAGCAGCTCCCAATTTCCCTTGTTGACTTAAAGTGGTGCAAGATCCTGTATTATACTCAATTATGACGTCATAACTTAACAGATTCACGTCATATATTTAGTGCTTGACATCCAAATGATAGCTTACATATGACAGAGAAGGTATGCAAAGTTTTATGAAGTTTGCTTCACTAGTTGTGGAATAACAAGCAAAAAACTTTTGCGGAAAGGCCGCTGGCCTCTCGCTGGAGCGTTTCCGACCAGTGTGCAACGGTTCCAGGCAGAGTCCAGTCAGAGCTTCGGCGGAATCGTTCCAAGCCAAATAAACAATCATAGCTGGCCGCATAAATCGGACATATCGAGCCGGCCTGGTCACGCAACGGTGGACGGCGGCGCCACGCGAGAGGCACCTTTCTCGAGCTTCGCAGGAAAACTCGCCGGAAGTGACCATAACAAGAGTGACGGGAAACCCCGGCGCGCCCCCCGGTCGGCGAATTCCGCCGCGCGCACCGCCACTTTCTCCAGTCCTAGGTCGTCGGCGGTGACATTTGGGATCTATGACGACGCGGCCCGTCCAGCGGACACTCCTCTGCGGGCCGCGCACCCTCGGCTGGACTGGATCCGCCGGCCGCGCGGTCGGTCACACCGCCGCGCAGCACATCGATACCGGGTGTGGGCGGCAGAATCGACCCGGGGCCAGCGTGGGCGGCCGTCAGCGCCGGCCAGCATCCGAACGACGCCCGGCGCGGGCGGGGGCGGGGGCGGGGGCGGCCATCTCCGCCGCCCACGCCACTCGGCCGACGGACGGGCGCGCTCTCTCAGAATCTGTCGCACCAAATCTGCCCGACCATCGACGCCGAGTCGAATACAAACAGCGTCGCCGCCGGCGCCTGGAATGACGTCCGCGGCCCGAGCGGCGACTGTAACGGCCTCCGGAAACCTCAGCCTGTTGTGATGCCTGCTACTGAGCCGGCACGAGCTATGCCGGCGCAGTCAGCTGACAGCTGTTGCCAGCCGCCGCGGCGCCGGCAGGCGCCTGATGGTAGGCTGTGCCGCCGGGCAGCTTCCGGCGTCCTTGAGTAAAGAGTATTGTTGTGCAGTCGTCAGCCGGACTCAATACAGTTCACATCGGGAGTGCGCGTGTGCGTCTGGGGCGGCGGAATCGCGACGATAATTAATTTGCTATCGAACCATTATTAACGTAGACTTAAATGTAAAACCATAACACAGCCGTCGGCCACGTGTGGCTCCGCGCCGCTCGCGACGAACGGCCGGCCGGCCGCGGCGGGGGCGGCGATGGATGCGGCGGACGTCGGCGGCGCCGCGCCGCGGGGCCGGCCGGACGCAGAGCGCATCACCAGCGAGCAGTTATAACCCGGGAGGTGCTAAAACCGGACCGCGGTCGAATTAGACCGGCCCACATATTTGGGGGCGTCGGCGGCCGGTGACAGCGGCCGCGCGGCCGGCGTGGTCGCGCTGTCCCCGCCAGTGTTTACGAGAGCAGCTCGCCAGGCCGGACGCGGACGGCCACTCGCCAGTTCGAGTGGACCCTGGCCGGCCGGCAGTCACAACAGGCGACGCGACAGGCAGGCAGGCACGCGTCTATCGATACCCACGCGCGGCGACTCGGGCAGCCCCACCATCGGCAGCGGCGGCGATTGGAGGCGCGGCGCCAGACGTGCTAGGAATGCCGGACACCCGTCGTCGATCGGCTTGATTCGCCGCGCTTCAAAGCGGCCCGCCGGCCCGAGCTGGCAGTGGCGAGCCGCGCCGGCCGGCCAAACCCCGTCACCGGCAGCCGGGCGCATCGTTCCGCTGTTGGCTACAATCACCATAGACACATACATGAACCGCGCAGCGTATGAAAATACAGCCACAACGACCGTTATGTAACGTCTCGCAATAGAGTGAATGGTTCATTGACATGGAAAGGTCACACGTAATCGCTGCATATGCATGCCATTCTGTCGCAGAGCGCCACGCCCCTGGAATCCCCTATAGTCATTACAGCGAGTGGGGGGCGGGCGGTGAGCGACCGGTGCACCCGACTGAGTCTGAGAGGCTACCGTTGCGACATCGCACCGCCGCCAACGCAAATGGGAAGGGGCGAATTCAGCACACCGGCCATCGCTGAGTCTAGCGTCCATCTCTCGTCCTCCCGCCTCCGGGCTGAGAGAGGGTCACGTGACGAGTACAGGAAAGACGCACCACTCCTCTACCCTCTTCCCGGTCTTGCATCGCCCGCCAAGTTCTTCCTAATCAATATCAGGCGAGAGCAAGCGCATCTCATCGGAATAGTGCTAATTTTAACGCCAGACTAAATTGAAGTTACTCTGGAAAATCCAACCTATGTGCTGGGACAAGAGTAGCATCACGGCATTGTTAAAATAATGAAAGGATGCGAAAATAGCAAGGTAAGAAATAGTGCTCATTATACCTGAGTGCTGGTCCAAAAATGGAAGAATGGAAGCCAAGAAGTTTCACAGGATTATTAAAAACTTGTGCAAGCTGAAACTTTACTGAAAGAAAGGTGATTGCCATTTAAAGAGTTGTCAGCATTAAGTAGTCGGGATCAGTCAAATGTTTCGTGACGTAATTTCTAAATATGATACATCCTATATGAATAATGTATGCCCAATCTGAACTTTTTACCACCGCCACAGGCAGTTACAAATGAAATCTCAGTAGGTACCCATTCGGCGGCACTGCAGCCCCGGCTGTGGGCCGGTCGGGGCCTCAATGCAGTGCCGCGAGCTGTGGGCCGCAGGTGCCCGACGGCAGCAGCCAGGGTTACATCAGCGCACGGCCGCCGCCTCGGCCCGTCACGTGACTGCACGAAAGGGCGTGACGTCAGCGGCGCCTCCTGGAACGGCCGGCGGCGGTGTGATGGGCCGCTGAGCCCCACCCGGTCCGACGCGACCCGCGGCGGCCGGAAACCGGGCCCGTCTTCCTCTACCGTCACCGCCAGCATCGTCACCATCGCCACCATCAGCAGAGAAAGGACTCCAGTAGGTCGCCGACTGCGTAAGCCACTTAGCCAGCCCTCCAAATCGGCCTTCACCTAGCGATGAAGAGCCGTCACCGCCACCTGGCAGTGCCCCACGCTGCACCGCGTCAGTCTCCACCCCACCCGGCCCGACCTGCTGCGCCACCGCTGATGAGCCCCACCTGTCCACCCAACAGCGCTGACCCGCGCGCCAGGTCAGCGGCACATGGAAAGGTCAGCCATCCGGCCGCGTTCTCAGAAGGTCGGCAGCTCTGCGCCGCGTCCCAGCGCGGCCGGCTGTCGGCGGCGCTTTCCGCACAGAGTCCCGACTCGTCCCGAGTCTCAGGCCGCAGCGGTGAGCGCCAAGTTTTCCTTGGCAAAACGGCAGATGTCCCGTGGCGTCGGCTATCAGTTTCCCCGCACTGGCCGTGAGCAGCGAGCGACGCGGCAAGGCCGTGCGAGCACGGCCAGCTCGGCGCGCGACTTGGCGCCGCTGTCAATGAATGGTTGGGTGACCGGCACAGAATACGATGCGGCTCGACGTAACACGGTGTAACCAGGCGACAAGAGACGACCTGAGTCGACGTTCGACAGCAGCGATGTTCGGCTGACTGTGACAATCACGGCCAAGTCAGTGCCAACGTAGGCTCTAGAGACTGCTGGGAGACTGAGCGCTTCTCAGGGAGGCGGTAGACGCGGTAACCCACCGTCGGGGCACGGGGGCCGACCGTGATTAGCCCGCGTCGGCCAGTCCCGTGCGCCAATTTGGGCCTCAGCAAACAGGGGTGTCGCGCGGCGGTTCATACGGCGCCGGCTAAAACTGGGGATCCAATTTGGCAGACGGCAAATAGGCCAGTTTCAGTCGGACAAACAGCGTCGCACGCGGCCAAATCAACCCGCTCGCGTGGTAAAGTGTGCCCGGCCCCGAATTAGGCCGACACGAATTGTGCATGTTGCGGCGCCCGTTGTTAAATTGCCTGCCGCTGACAACCGTGTTCGATTGTTTGAGAGCCGGATATACAATATGTCCACTCATTAGCTCACACAATAGCTGTTTGGTGCAGTCCCCGCCACACTGCGGTAGTTACTGGGGGTAAGTTCCGGCAGCAAGCGCCAAAGCCGGTCGAATGTCATGTCCCACCACGCTTCAAAAAAATCAATAGCAAACTCATAAAGGTAGCCGCACAATGCACAAACGGTATGGTCCACAAATGCATTGTACAAACAAAGCGGATCGGATCAAATAAGGGTCAGATCAAATAAAAGACGCGTTAAGGTAGCGCGGACAACAAGGAAGTTATTGAGCAACGAATGAATCAGAAACACGGCCAACTCTAGAAGAGGGCGGAAGAGAACAGAACAGGGTGTGTCATGTCGCGGTGGATGCAGCAAGAGTGACAATTTCCCCATTACGTGACATACGAAGAAGGAGAGTACAAACACGAAAGGAAAATCTACTCCCTATCACTGGCACCAGCGCGAAAAAGCGCCGCCCCGGTACAGCGCCGCTCTGTGTAAGTCGTGCAAACGTAATTACTTTTTGTCGCGGTGTCTCTGATTTCCACTGTAAACGCCGGTTGCACTGTCCATTCAGACTTTCCGAGCAAAACCGCACGGTGTGTCGACGTGTACGACGCGAACCCATTCATCCTTCCGTCGGCGGCTACTACAGCTCGCAACAATATCACTCCGACGGAAATGAATCGCCGCCGAGGAATCACGTGAATCAGCTGGGATCGTTCCATGAAGCCGCGCCCGTGTCGGCCGTGTGACTAAAGACGGCGCGGCGCGGCCGGTACCGCGGCGTTTCCGCCGCCCGCCGGCCCTGTCAGTGTGGGTGTGACCGGGGGCAGCGCGTCACTGCCGTGTGACAGAGCACCTGTCGCTGGGGCGCCAGGTGACGGGCCGCGCACTCTGCCACCACACCCAGCGCCGTGATGCAACGCGGCCGCCCCCTGAGACGGTGGGAGCGTGGACAGACCGGCCGGAGCCCGGACACCGATACCGCGGCACCGCCGGGGCAAAGGTGCGCCGGAACCGCCGTGGGGGTGCACCACCAACGTCATGCTGCGTGTCACAGTGCATGATACAAGAATAATCTGTGATGAATTCACCCTAGATATGGTATGAAATAAAGTGAATCTCATGCCAACCAACCCAAATGTTTGCACAATGCACACATCACAATATCCATTCCTTTCTGATCTCGCTAGTCCCACAATGACACCCATCCCTTACCCCACCCCTTTCCGCCCCGGACTCACCCGTACGGCGTAGCAGATGCCCTCGTCGGCCACCTGACCATCGGCGTGCAGCCAGCCGCGCGCCGGCTTGTTGATGAAGTTACCCTGCACCCCGCCACCTCCTCTGTCCTTCGACATGACTAGATTGACCAGGCCCGGACTCAGTTCATGCTTGGCCGGCGTGAGCCGTAGCCTTGGCGACGGTGAGCCCTGCTGGGACGTCGACAGCGGCGGCGGCGACTCGAGGCGCGAGCGCACGCTCTCGGGGCTGCGCGCGCGCGACGGCGATGGCACCACCCGGAACTTGTGGTTGCGCTCGAGCGACGAGGCGCGAGGCTTGGCGGCACGCGGGGAGCGCTGCTCGAACCGCAGTAGCCTCTGGAGGGGACCTGATGACGGCTCTCGGCTGCTCTTGGGCTGTGACGATGACGACGACGACGACGACGATGGGCCGGCAGGTGATCGCACACCCAGACGCTGGAGGGCGTTCTCCGAGTTGGACTTTTCTAGGTGTGCGCGCGCTGAGCGCGATCCGGGCAGTCGGAGCAGGTCCTTGTGGCGCGGGCTGGCCGTCAAGTAGATGTGCGTCTGCTCGAAGGAGGCGGCGTCGCGAGGCCGGCTGCCACCACCGGCTCCGGCCCGCTCCGGTAGCCGGATGTACCGCTCGGGCTCCTGGGGGCTGCCGGCCGCCTGCTGCGATCTGATGGAGAGCAAAGGGAAGCACGGTCACAGAGGGGTCACACTCACGGAGGGGTGCGAAGAGACGAGCCGGTCAGAGAGAGAGAGAGAGAGGGGGGGGGGGCGAAGGAACGCACAGTCACAGAGGGCTCACAAGTTACACGACACGTCACATTAAAATACTCAGAGCTCCAACACAGGGACAATGAACACAGCCCAGACATCCCTAACAACAGTCATACAACATACAAATTCATTCCTCCAGCACTCTCCGCATCCTCCGCCCCATCGCCAAGCCTGACCGGTCGGCCGGCTCCTGGTCCGAGCGGTACACTCGGGAGCCGACCAGCGGGACGTAGGGGTCACCTTGTGTCGGCTCTCTCGGGTCGGAGAGGTCACATTGCCACTGAGCGCCGCCCGACGTCACTACTCAGTGCTCAGTGAACGCTTCCGGCCGCTAACAGCTTGTGGCGCCGGGCCATCGGGCAGAGCACAGGAGCGCGCTGCCTCGACGGGGCAGAGCCCGGGGAAACTGGTTCAGCAGAGGGCGAGAGGACAACCTCCCAGGAAAAAGACGCGACTCGTAAGTGAAGCACGACTCAGCATAAGTGGCATATATTTTACCGTTAACCCTCGCCACATCCTCATTTTAAACCTCAATATTGTTGTCCTCAAACGATGGGTTTTACCGGTGTCAATTACATACCAACCTATCACGACCAAAGTAAAGACCTTGTTTTCTGTACAGCCCCAAGAGGCCACGTCCGCCGCGCATTCTCAAAACGCGGGAAAAGTGTGTCCCGCTAATGGCGCTGACCGTATAATTTGCCTGCATGCCAGCGGAGGTCCCGGCCGCCGGAAAGCGGCCGATACGGGACTTCCTGAGACGATAGCGATAAGTGATTGGCGGTCCCGGCACCGGGGCTGCCGATAACATCAGGTCAAAGATACGGGCCAACTACGCAGAGGCGATTGATTACGTTATTGCAACGTGGCGCATTTAAGACCGGCCTTGAGGCCTGAAGGACGTGCTATTGTAAATCCCGTGGCGGTATCGATATCGATGCGTTTGAATTAGTTCCTACCACTACTGCGTACCACTCTGGAGTTTTCATCGTTACCAGCAGCTCTGCCCATCTCCCCAGTCCCATCCAGAGCCGATCAGCGTCTTTCTCCGAGTCATCTCGCCGGCTCGGTCCCGTCAGGGAGACGGCCGACGGCACTGATTGAAGGCGAATGGGCGGTGGGCGGAGCGGCCTTCGCGGCACACCGCCACCGCCGCCGCCGCCGCCGCCCTCGACGGTCGATGACGTCAGTCGTCGGGCGGCGGAAGTCGGTCGGCGCCGTGCCAGGGCGGCGGCGGCGGCGGCGGCGCGCTGGGCCACCGCCACCGACGCACGCCACCCGTCCGTCGGCCCGTCTGTCGATCTATGTTGACCCGGCCCGGCGCCCAGCCCTGGCAAGCCACCCAACCGTGCGAGGACGACCGACTGCGCCGGTAGACAAACCAACCCCGCCGGATGAGGCAACGGAGACGGTCTCTGCGCGCCACCGCTGCGCACAGAAGCAGCTCTCCAGGCAGGTCGCTACCGCTGAGCAACAAGTGTTGGAGCGGCGCGGGCCAAACCTGTTGTTGCTCAATCGGCCGGTCACTGCAGTCACGTGCCACTGCCCCGAGCAGGACCGGGGAGGATGGGGAGAGCAGAGCGACGCGAAACATGCACGGAACATGAGCGCAGCGAGGTAGGACACCGCCAGGACACGAGCGGCTCTGCACAATTTGGGCCGGGGAGAGGGGCTTCCAAGCAGATAATCTAGACTCCAGGCGCCTAGTAGCCGGGGGACTGCGGTCGAGATGGAAGTTGTTTCGCAATGGCAGCGAGCAGAAGGAAGATCTAGCCGGATGGGAGGAGAGGGGGAGGGCGGAGAGAGGGGCGAGGAGGGAGAGAGCTGCACGGGCGGAAAGCGGAAGCTAGGTATAGATGGTTCGGTATTCTGATACCACACTGATCTCAGTAACACTGACCTCCACTGACCTCTAGCAGAGAGAGAGAGAGCGGGGACAGGACGAAATGTCCTACAGAAGTAAACTTATTCCAGACACAGCACCGGACAGCCCCTCTCTGGGACAGGACAAGTGATTCAGCTGACAGCGAGCTATTCGTGGCAAATGACCGGCGCGAAAGCTCTCACAGAAACGGGTCATCCGCCTCACGCACGCGACAATGGGAGAAACCCGTGCGCCGCTCGTTGCAAAGTAGGCCGGCCGGTGGCGGCCACATGTCGAGATCAGCTCACCGAGCAGCCAGCGCAATCACTGACGGAGCGGAGAGAGAGGGGGAGGAGGGAAGGAGGGAGGAGGAAAGAGGGAGTACACGCGCCCAAAACGAGTAGACACACAAAGCAATCGACAGAATAAACACAGCGGGATGCGATAAGACAAGGCGCTTGATGAGGCACTCCGACCCAGACGAGTCGGCGACAGGCGCCGGTGGCAGAGGAGCGGGAAATGAGACTGACTGGGAGGTCGGGGAGGGAGAGGCGGAACGACTGGGAGGAGGCAAGAGGAGAGAAACAGCAAGAGGGTGGGAGAGAAGGCGCGGGCAGAGACTGAGCGGCACGGGCGGCCGTTACGGACGCCGGCAGCGCCGCCACCGCCGGCTGAAATGTTTATGAGTCGGCTGATGTAAGACGGACGACCGTGGGCTGTATCTCGCCCAGACGGGATCCCGACGGCCGTCTATCCACCGACTGACGGCCGCTAACCACATAGCGACCGAGCCGGCACGGTGGCGGAGGCGGGGCCGGTGACACATCGACTCGGCTCCGCACGTGAAAGGGAGGACAGAGGGGAGACCCGGGCACTGACCGGACTGATCTGTCGAGGTGCTTGGTGTTGGACTTGGCCTTTATTCCCAGCGCCGCCTTCCACGACTGAATGGCCGACTCCTTCGTGTTGGCGCCTGATGAGTTCGGGTCGGGGCTGCGCGCCACCCGAGACAGCTTCAAATCAGCGCTGTCGCCCCCGTTGCCGTCCGCTGAAACGCACAAAAGCACAACGTCAGATCGTCAGCTCACAGGTCACAGGCAAATGTCACAACGCTAAAAGTGCATAATTAGCAGGCGCACATTGCGGAGTTATTCAAAACACGGGACATCCCAGAGCCGACACGGCGAGATCACACGCACAGGCGAGCCTGTCGCGGCGCTGGCAGCTCGTTAGTAAGGTCAGCGGTTCGGAGCGCTGCAGGGAGCGGTTCGGCGGGGCGCGGGAACCCCGGTGCGTGACCCCTGACCCGCTGACACGGCGTCATGCACGGTGCACGGCCGCCATCAATTGGCAATCGGCACCGGCATGCCCGGCAGCTTCCGGCGCCCGATCAGGTCACGCCACCGGCCCTCGGGCGGGGCGGGGAGCGGGGGGCTGGGGCTGGGGGAGGCGGGGGCGGGGTGGGGCTTCCGGTGGCCGCCAGCGGGACAGATAAGATAGGGGCGCCGGCCGGCGGCCGAGCAGCGGCCGTCTGACGCCCTCTGTCGGCGACTGACCGACTGCCGCCGAGGCCTCTCTCCAGACGGGCCGGCGCACCGAGCGACTGTGTGCCCAGCCCTGCACCGAGCCACGTGCTGCCCAGCCGAGCAGCTGCCGAAAGGAGGGCAGTCGACAGACAGGGCGGGCCCGACGAACGTGCCCGACCCGACTCGACTAGAGATGGACGGGATGAGGTCGAACTGGCCGGTGAACGGGCGAGCAGCGACAGACCATCCACCTCGGAACCCAGCGGCAGGCGAGCCGAATGGACCTCCCTAAACGGTAGCCACCACACGGAGAAAGCCGCCGCTAGTCGCCGGCAAACCGTCACATAAAGAACACTTATCACGTGAATTTATAGAGACACATCACGCCTCTTTGGAGTCATTACAATTAACCAAACCACAGAAAATAACATATGCGCCAGCATGTGCCAAGTAATACCGTCTAATCTTGGTCAGAACCTCTTCATTATCGACTATGTACGGCGGCGCGGCCGGCGCAGTTGGGCCGTTTGCCGCGCTCTCGGGACGCCGGCCAGTGTGAAGAGCCGTGTTCAGCGGCACTGCCGCCGCAGCGACCCTGTGATCCCAGCCGGAGATAATGCCCGGTCCGCGGGGTGCATCGACACACGGAATTAAACTGGTCCGTGTCACGGCTGGTCCGCGGTGGTCCGTCCCAGGTGCCGCCGAGGACCGGACCGGGACCGGGACCGAGCGGCGGAGCCCGGACCGCGCCGCGCCGGCCGGCCGCCGCACTGGGCTGTATAAACAGCCGGCCAACTGCCATAAACAGAGCGCCCGCCAAGGCCGCGCTGGTGTGCGCCCGCCGCCGGCGCCCGAGCCCGACCCCTACAGGTGTGGGAAGAGTCTCACAGAGCCGGCGCTGCCGCCCAATCGGTCATACGACCGGTCCAGCTGTCCGTGCCAATGGCACGCGCGACAGTGATCGTCGGCCAAACGTCAGACGCATGACTTATAAAGCTCACACGTGAATAGCATGTTCATAAAATTCATAAATGAACATTATGTCCATTGTGCATTCATTCATTCATGTTCTCAGTATGTCTGCATATTCAGATGTCCAACCTTTACCAAGAAATCGACGAAAAGCATTGCCATACTTCAAAACAAGCAGCAGATATGCAAAGTCTGCATTCATTGAAACATGCCCATCGATCACATTCATGAGGACACGTTGGAGGAGCATTTACTGGGACCCAGTACATTTACATCAGTCGCTGTCATTGACGAAAAGGAGCGGTCATGGAACATCTGAGGAGGCCCTAAGGCGGGTCCCAGAACCTGTGAATGAAGGCACGTGAAGCGGTATGTCCGGTTCGGCATGGAGGGACGGGTCAGTCCGTCTAAGAACCCACCGCCCCAGCGCCCAGCAACGTGTCCCACAGACGAACAGACGGACGGACGAACGGCCGACCAGAGCCGGGCGGACGCTGCAGGCCCGTTCACCAGAGCCGAAGGAAGCGCGCGTGTTCCACAGACGGACAGGGCCGGATGTCCAGCGCAGCGGTGACCCACGTCACCAGGCTGTCACGTGCTGACATCAGCAGCGTCGTCAGCGCGTCGTCAGCGCGTCGTCAGCGCGCCGTCAGCAGCGCCGTTAGAACCGAGATACGCCGACCTCTGACCCCGCTAACCAGGCAAGAACGGGCGGCGAAGCGGCTCGGTGACCCGTGCCGCACCCCTCGCTCGGCAGGTGGACGCCGCACGGACTGGGGCTCCGCACGTCCCGCAGAGGCACCGTGCCGAGAGACGGACACACAAGGTCAGCGCCGGGCGGCCGACCTGCTCCACTCGGCAGTCACCGGGCGCTGCGGCGATCGCCGATAAGCCTCACTGGCAGTCTGATGAGGTACCCAGGGACCCAGCCGTCGGCGAACAGTCAAACTCAGATACCAACACACGAGAACAGACTGAATGAGGGCAGTAGAGACTGGGATTTGGGCGGAACAGTAGCTACTGTGCTGAACAAGTCGTGCACCTGACCGCTGACAGTACAGTCTTTGTCAGCAAGACGTTGGTGCGTGCCGGCAACAGGAAACGTTCGTCAGCCAAGGTCGGCGCCGAGTCCTGACTCACGGACGGATTTTGACCGCACCTGACAGCGAGTCACCGCCGCGGCAAACCAGTTGGGCGGCTGATCCGCCGAGTCGGCCGTCCACCCGACCGGCCGTCTCGCGCCGCCCACCGGTGCCGTCCCGCCCTGCGCCCGGCCGCTCTCCCCGGCCGGCCAGCCGACTTTCCCCGCCCGGGCAGCGCCCCGGCCCGACTTACGACCTCCGCCAGCGCTGCCAGCTCCGCAGCCACCTCCAGGACGATCCCCACCGGCGCGGCGAGCAGCGCGCGCGGCGCGATACACCCAGGACGGAGCACAGGACGCGACACGGCCTCCGGCCGGCGCCGACCGCTCACCGGACGCCGCAGCCTCCCGGCTCGCCGGCTGCGACCGCATGACTGGCGACCGGCTTCCGGCGCCCCTCCGCCGCCGCCGCCGCGTCGGCGCATTCGCTGAACGGCGGCGACTCAGCCTCAGAGTCAGCTTCGACGGCGGCGGCGGCGGCGGTGGAGGCGGTGTGGCGGTGACGGCGGCACACATTCCCAGCGCGTGGCGTGCAAGCCGCTTCCGCCGCACACCTGAGCGGCTGTCGGCTGACGGGGCGGACGACGGTGGTGCCTACCGTGACTCATCTGCAGCACATGGCCGGCCCGTGTGCCGAGCCGGGGACCGCGGCGCTGGCTGGCGGGCGCCCTCCGACGGCCGACTCGCCTGCCATGCAAATGTGCGCCGGCCGGTCGGACGGCGCGCGCCGTGCACAGAATACGGAGCCGGCGATCAATGTTCCAGGTGCGCCGCCGCCGCCGCCGCCGCGCCGGCCGCCAGGCGGCGCGCGACGCGCCCGCTCTCTGAATGACGCCCGCCCGTGACGTCACTCATTCATAAATGGTAATTGATCGGCGGCTGCGTGCGGGGCTCGTCGGTCGCGGCGGCCCCCCGGCGGGTCACACAGAGGTCACAGTTGCGCCCGGCGACCGGGAGGGGCGACACGACCCCACCGCGGGTCTGCTCTGCACGGCAGTCATAGGAGAGAGCTGACGCAACGCGACAACCATCCCCGTCAACCCAGTCAACACCAGATGGTAATCATCCGGGCATTTATCCAGCTTGTTTGGCTCATTCGCCATATACTGTAGCATGCAAGTACTCAACAGCCCTGTTATCGGAAGTGTCTTTTCCGGCGCCATTGTCGCAGGAAATGTCCCGCGGCACGGAGTAGAGTTCCATGCAGTGCACACTGTCGATGGATGGCAGTCGCCGGCTGGTGACAGCTCCTGCAGCCGACATGTCGGTGACAGGTGACGATGGAAGGGGACACATGTCACGGTGACGTGCCCGGCCGCGGAGCGAGGGGCGCCGATCGGGGAGCTGGCGAGATGGATGCCGTCCAACGCGATCTATGAATGGGAATCGCAGCAGCCAGCAGCGGAGCTTCGGAGAACTTTGTCCGGACTGGGACCGGTTAACATATCACTCGTGCACACACCGAATCCCTTCGTAACATAGCATCACTGCGTTGCCTACAACCCCGCCGGTTAAACAGAACACACACAACACAACTCTCACACCTCTCACGAGGTAGCAATGCCAGCCACATTTGACATCACCCAAGTATGCAGAATCATACCACACGGGCGTGAAATCGGTCCACGGCCGGCTCCCTGTTCCTAGTCACACGTCCGTTCTGGAAGCGAGCGTCGGAATGTCTCATAATAAAGCCCGGCAGTTAATTATCATAAACGACCCATTAGGGACAGATCGTTTGTCAAATTTGCTGGAGTTTGACCGTGTTCCCGCCCATCTGACGCCCAGCTTGGACACGCGCTCCACTTCCGGGCTTGGTGATATCGGCCTAGTTTGAAAGAAGAAAAGAATCGCACGGTAAGGTTCACAAAATGGCAGATTAATGTGCGAAGCACCTAAAACTACGCGGCTAAAATAAGCATAAGATTTATCAAACTGCTCGATTGAAACTAGCCGCAATGCGGTCGGTCGTTTCAGCGTTGGGCACCGTCTGTTAGCAATGCCATAGATAATTGGTTTCTCACCAAAAAACGAGATCACGAGACAGATTACCAGTGGCGCAGCCAGGGGGGGTCAGAGGGTCAGCTGACCCCCCCCGAAATTTCTGTCAGGGGCCCGCTCGAGAGAGAGAGAGTGTGAGAGAGAGAGAGAGAGAGAGAGAGAGAGAGAGAGAGAGAGAGAGAGAGAGAGAGAGAGAGAGAGAGAGAGAGAGAGAGAGAGAGAGAGAGAGAGAGAGAGAGAGGAGAGAGAGAGAGGTCCTAATCTAATCGGACGAGCCCGCTTCGAGAAATGCCCACTGCGACACCTCGGGTGAGGGGTCGGCCTGGGGCCCCAGGTGGACAGGGCCCGGGCCCCCAGGAGAACGGGCCCGGCCCCCTGGGTGGATGGGACCCGGGCCCCCTGTAGATG